ACGGTGACCTCTTTCCATCAGACAGGTTTTCGTATGTTTGCTTCTTAATATAAAAACAAAAAAAACCATGCTTCAAAGCTATTCGCATTGAACGGAAGTTGACGATTGCGCAATCAACGTATTTCATTGTAATTCAATATTTTACGTATATTTCATCGCTCATCAATTCATTATTGCAATTAAATATTTAAGTAGGTTAACAATTCGTTAATAAGGTTCAAATTCGTTTAAAATCATGCGGCAGCGTTCTATCATAATAATAATTATATTGTCGGCTGTTTTGATTGGAAATATATTTCACTGCTATTATAATAGTGTTGTAACTCAAAATACGTGAAATTTAAGATTATGACCATTACCTAAAATTTGATTCTCTTCATGAAACCGTCGTCAGATTATTGTAAACAACAAACCAAAGATAATATCAAGCGATGGGACGAACAAGTCGTGTGCCTAGTAGTAAGCTACACGTGCCTGTCCAGAACAGTTGCAGTGCCACACAGAGATTTAAATCGCAAACATCTGAGGGGCACTACGCCCGTCACCCTGAGACATAAGTTTACAAGTCCAATGTGCCTGTAATTTCACCATTTCACGATGATATTCAATTTTTTTTTGTGGAATTACGCCACTAGTTTGTTATAATTATTAATAGAAAGATTATGTATATAATTATTAATAGAAAGATTATGTATCAGATAGCTGACTAAAGAATTAGATTTGTCACAGATGGCGCTAACGAAAAAAAATCGTTAAAAACCTAAATCAAAGATCTGCAACAAGCACATACAAAATAAGGTAAGTAAGATGTGGTGGTTCGTTCCGTAGCTCAGTTGGGGGAGTTTCTTTCTAGCACGAATTGCTTGAATGTGCTGGTTCGAATCCAGTCCGCATCGAAGGAATTTTTCTTAGTGTTCGATCTTTGTATTAATAATGATATCTACTTAACTCAAAATGAGACAAACTTTATGTGAGCTAGTTCTAATCAAAACGTCCTTACTCAAAAATATCAAATTATTTAGATCCCTGTAATAAACTTTATTAATATAATAAACTCCCAGGGTAGTACTGCCACCATTACCAATTTCTGCCGCCAAGCAGTAATGTCAGCATTACTGTGTTCCGGTTTTGAAGAGCAAGGTTGCTAGTGAAATTACAGGCACATGGGACTTGTCAACTTATGTCTCAGGGTGACGGGCGCAGTGGCAGAGCCCCTTTGCGATTTAAAGCTCTGGAGTGGCACTGTAACTGTTATGGATAGACTATTCGTTTATTCGTATTTTCAAACCAAAAATCTACAAAGAACTGAATATTTGATCAATATTATACAGTTTTTATTAACTTCCCCTACCCTACTACCCCACTATTCAACAGGAAAACGACATGTCAAATCCTATATTCAACACTGATTAGACTAAACATGTGTACATTAAAACGGACAGTTAAAACAGTTAAATGTACTTATACTAATAAGGATAATACATAATTAACGTGGTGTATAATTAATGAACAATAATAATCAGGCTGTATAATTAAGTTTCTAAATGATAATATTCAACAGCACATGGCTACCCAAGTTCTATAGTCATGACTTGTTCAAATCAACAACTGTAGATACTGAACTCATTATCTATCTTATATATTATTATGATTATTACAAACACATTTGTATGATTAAAATTATAAAACGCTTACACCTGTGATAAATTTAAATAATCTGTCACGGGAAGTAATTTATTTTTTATCAATTCTGAAAAAATGCACTTTTTGAGTTAATCACTATTGTATTAACTGTGTTATACATATATCAGAATATCGTAACCGCACTTATCACTTAAAAATGTACGTTATGTCTTTAGACTTAGTACGTTTTTGTTTTATAATACCCAGTGACGAGACGTACAAGTCGTGCGCCTGGTGGTAAGCGACACGCCTGCCCATAACAGTTGCAGTGTTACTCAGAGCTTTAAATCATGTCACCCTGAGACATAAGTTGACAAGTCTCATGTGCTTGTAATTTCACCAGCACTCTCACCCTTCACAACCGTGACCATTACTGCTTGGAGGAAGAAATAGGGAAAGTGGCAGTACTTCCCTAGACGAACTCTTTCACAAGGAGCTCTACTGCGAAGTACTGAGTAGACTCCAAAAAAAGGTTTTATATCGAAATCAATCAAAATAACCAAGTGCAAACCTAATAATCATCGAGGCGCTGCTAGTTAATCTTAATTTTACCTGATAGCCGAAAGGTGCGACATCCGTGTGTAGATTCTGGGTGGTCATATTCGAAACCGGGGACCGTACCCACTTTGTTTCATATGTGAGCAAATTACACTTGAAATCAGTCAATGCTACTTACTAATTTTTAAGGCAGATTTCCCAGAGAAGAATGAGTGTGAAGCTGTATATTTGTAATTTAGTTAATACCTACACATTCATAAATTATACGATTATTATTTCAAATGTAATGGATTTTAGTCTTCCAAGTACGCAAAAGTTGTATAATTAAAATTTTAAAGTATTCCGTATAATCTCAGTACAGAGTACTAAAAAAGCCGACCTCAAAAGTACGTGGAATTACGTCATTTGCTAAGTTTTATTGAAATATCCCCTAGTTCGCCACTATACAGGACTTGACGCTGGAGATAATAAAAATAGGTCCTCGCTACGACACTACTCAAAGTATATTGTATGTATGAAATAAATAAATAAATAAATAAATATTGATAGAAAAACGCCTTGAATGGAAGAAATATCAAAATCAACCATTAAAGTAATTGCTCCTAAATTAAAGTTAGGCGCTATTTATAAAAGTGAATCTTCATGCGTGAACAGCCATCCTTCGAGGTGGATGATTTTATTCAAAATTAAATGGGACCACTATGGAAGTACCCCCTTTCCAACAAAGAAAGAATCATGAAAATCGGTTGACAAATACCGGAGTTATCGAGTAACATACATACAAAAAAAAAGAAAAAAAGAAAAAAAAGAACATACAGTCGAATTGAGAACCTCCTCCTTTTTTGAAGTCGGTTAAAAATAGAGAAATTGAGTATAATGTAACCTCAGGAACTTTTATGCTACCTACATTTGTAACCTATAATAATAATATGTTTATTTGACAAGATTTCCAAAAAAATAATTAAGCATATGCTAAATTGACATTATGTATAAGTATCGCAAACGTGATGTCGTGATTTCATGAAATTTACGACATTAGTATTATTACGTTACACGTTGCATTATCGTTGTTTTAATATTAATAACAATTTAAGTATCTTTTTATGTATTTAATCTAAAATAAACAAGAGAAGAAAAATAAACAGAAAATAATTAGAATGTGTTAAGATAAAGTAGCAAGTATTAAAATATTTAGACCAATATTCATTATTAAACAAATTGAATCTAATAATAATACTTACTAACCTAACCGCAATCTTACGCGAAGGCAAAGTGACTATAACATGTAGGTACATAGTTTTAGGGTCGTATTCCAGAACTCTACTCAATGCTCAAGTCAGGATTTGAGTATGGTTTAAAGCACTCGAAATCATACTCAAGTCCTTGCCATTAGGGTCGCATTTCCAGTGCTTGAAATCATACTCAAGTCTGCTCAAATCCTGACTTGAGCATTGAGTAGAGTTCTGGAATACGACCCATAATGATCTCACTCACAAAGTACTATGCATATGTTAACGTAAATTTACGTACGAGTATGAGATTTTCAGTGAATACCATTGGGATAAGCTAATATTATATCATTGGGATAAACCTTCAATGCAGTATTAAAATAAAACCCAGCATTTAAAAAAGATGTTGCAAAACATTTTGACTCTAAGTCAAATAATCATTTATTCTATAGGTTAAAATTTTTACACTTGAAAACATCATTTTTTAAGCTACTTTTTAAACTATTGCTCGTTCACCACTACGCTGACCTCCCTGAGAAGAACGAGCAAGAAACTCTAGGGTTTGCTCTTTTCAAATAAACTTAAATGCTATGGAATACACTTTGAAACATAATTGTGTGGAATCTAGATTCTTAATGTCTTTCCATACTTCTTTATCTAAAACATACTCAATTTTGTAATATGACTTTTCAATTAAAATACTTTTAATGTAAGTTTTAAACCTAGGAAATGATAATCTTAATATATTCTCCGGAATCTTATTGTAAAAACGTATACAGTACCCCATAAAAGAATCATTTACCTTAGTTAAACGAAATCGTGGTACCGTGAGTTTGGACTTAATTCTAAGGTTTACTTTATGGATCTTCTTTCTTAATGAAATTATGTAGGTATATTTTTACGGGCATACAAAATATTTGAGTAAATGTACTGTGATGCCACAGTCATGATACCAGTCTCCTTAAACTTTACTCTGATAGAAACCCGAGAATATGATTTTTGCAGCACAAATATGCTTTGTATATCTGCCGCTTTACCCCACATGAGAATCCCGTAGGACGTTATACTATGGAAGTAAATAAACTAGTGTAGCAGTAGCAACATCGGTAAGCTGACGTACTCTACGTACTGCGTATGCAGCAGAGCTTAATCTGCTGGCTAAGGCAGATTGAAGTTTACTATCTAAGGTCACTCACAAAAAGACAGATTTATTGACAAGGTCTAACTTTTCTCCATTTTTTTCTATGATTGGACTAGCCGATTTTACATCAGGTAATTCAAATTTAACACACTTTGTATTTTTGGCATTGAACAATAAATTGTTAACATTAAACCAATAAACTACCTTTGAAAGAGTATCGTTAATATTATCATAGTTAATGTCATGTCTGTTTGTTTTAAAAATCAAGGATGGGTCGTCAGCAAACAATACTATTACTCTTAAGACTCTTAGGTAAATATGTATACTGACGTACTTTACAAAAAAACCTAAAATAATAATATAGCTTACACAGACAAGGCCAAGTACGTGAGAAGCTACTGGCTAGTTCACAAAGCACGTGCATTTAGCTAACTCGTCTCGTAAAAATTATGTATACAGTATGGTTACTTGGTACACTCGCGGTCCTCTCTCGCTGCCATGGACGAGTTTCCAACCCTCCGTTCCCGAAGATAGAGTTGAACACGCGGCATTTTGCAGAAAAATTGTTTAAGAAACCTGTGCTTCGAGATACAACCAAGATATCGGCCGAATTACTCGCTAGCTCCGTGGGCGTCTTAACAAGCGCGCCGATAGCTCTGTCCCGATTGCACGGCGTGGGGCCTCCACTACACGGTTTGTTCAGCAGCACTAACGTGGTAGCATTGGCCGACTTCATACCAGTATACGATTACGGCCGGAGAAACGACGACGTGCATCTATCCATAGACCAACTAATCGTTAAATATGGCTACCCTCTCGAAGAACACCGGGTTGTTACTGATGATAGATACCTTTTGACCGTGTTTAGAATACCTAGGTTAGGACCTCCTGTTCTTCTGGTGCATGGATTAGAAGGCAGCGCGGATGACTTCGTGTTAGCCGGGCCAGAGAGCGGTCTGGCGTACTTGCTCGCCGACGAGGGCTACGACGTGTGGCTAGGCAACGCTCGTGGTAATAAGCATTCCCGCCACCACGAGCACTTGAAGCCTACTGATGGTTCCTTTTGGGATTTTTCCTGGCACGAGATCGGCCTGTACGACTTACCAAGTATGACAGATTACATACTCAACAAAACAGGGAATGAAAAGGTGATATACATAGGACATTCCCAAGGAACGACTAGTTTCTTTGTAATGGCGTCTCTAAAACCCGAATACAACAATAAAACCTCTGCAATGATCGCTTTGTCTCCCGTCGCATTCATGACCAACGTTAAATCGCCGTTGATTAGGCTACTAGCTCCAGGGGGTCCCTTATTGCATACAATAACAAATAACATAGGCGTGCAGGAGTTATTTTCAGATAATGTCGTGTTACGTGCTCTGAGACGTGTTTTGTGTGAAAATAGTGCTATGGCGGCGATTCTGTGTGCTACTAATACCATGTTTCTTCTCGGTGGCTTCAGCTTCGATCATCTAAACGTGACAAATTTACCGGTCATCCTTAGCCACCTGCCTGCAGGAGCAGCTACCAAGCAATTTGCTCATTACGGCCAAGGTGTAGTATCAACCGACTTCAGACAATTTGATTACGGGCCTCGAGTTAATTTAGAAAGGTATGGTGGAGAAGTGCCGCCAAGCTACCCGGTGCATAGGATAACAACGCATGTGTCGCTGTTGTACAGTTCTGCTGACTGGCTGGCCCACCCGTCCGATGTTCACCGCCTCAGCAGCAATCTACCCAACGTCAATATTTACCCAATACGCGACGACACGTTCAATCACTTTGATTTCTTATTCGCGAAAGATTTTAAGGCGATAATTTATAATAGGATACGAAATATATTAATGGCGATTTAGGCTGCTAATAGATGCATGAAGTAGATAACGACTTCACGCTTTAACTGCATGCAATCGAAACCGACTTCATGCAGCCGATATCGATTGCATGCAGTTAATGCGTGAAGTCGTCTCCTTAGTGGTATGCATTGTACACACGTACTTTACCCATGTCAATATTATATATATGTATCATACAGAGCGTAATGTACGGGCAATACGGTATCCTTCTCTAAGCACCACCTCCTAGATTAACGCTTTACCGCGGGAGTTTCAAATTCGCTGCATCTAAGTGCTGGAATGATTTGCCTCCTCCAGTACGAAACTCAGTCATCTTGTACTTTTAAAAGAAAGTGCAAGCTTTGGTTACTTTCGAGGCAAAGATCGGAAAGTAATTGGATGTAGTTTGTAATTATATTTTTACGTGTGGGTGCTGTTCATCTCTACCTAAACCCCAAATTTGAGTATTTTAGGTGGAATATTTTATCTATCTCAGGTACTATAAGGACAATAGATTTATTATAACTTTTAGTGAGTATATATATATATTTATTATTTTGTGATATCTTTTGGAGCTACTCGAGACGCGTCAGACAAGTACTATGATTAAAATGTAGCGAGTTTCAAAAAGGTAGGGTCTGAAAAACAGCTTAAGCTGAGACTCTATCCTTTTTATCTACACAGTATCTATAAGTGATGTTATTTACGACTAAATTGTTTTGTAAATGTAGATAAATAAAGTTCTTTATTATTATTATACACCACAATTAAAATTTTAAGTGTAGGATATCAACAATCAACAACATTTCTTGGTACAGGGAATATCATCATTTACTACAACTAACATGATGTTCACATTTTTAACCGGCTTCAAAAAAAGGAGGTTCGACTGTATTTTTTTTTGTTCGTTATGTTATTACTTTGTGTGTGAACCGATTTAGATGATTCTTTTTTTGTTAGAAAAGCGGTACCTCAGTATTGGTCCCATATAAATTTTAAGAAAATATTCCACTTCTAAGGGTGGCAAACTAAGCGATGAATCCGGTTTCGCGCACTTTCCGATAACCGATTTTAATAAAACTTGGGGATTTTAATAAAGATGTAATTAACTGCCTCTGTGTTACCATACCGAACTGCCACGCGAAATATTTGTATGGACCACATTTATTTATCTTGTGACTTTGGCTGTAATTTACGGTTGTCTATGTGTGTGTCCATGGCACACGCGACCCAGGGTGTTCCTAGTGCAGGGCTACGTTGAGTGTGTGCTTTATTATTATTAATTCAACGAACTTGTGAAGACGGCTTTTTTACATAAAAAAGTTATATTTAAGCTACTGCTCGTTCATTGTGCTGAGAAGAACGAGCAAGAACTCGAGGGGTTGCTCTTTTCACTTAAATGCTATGTAATACACTTTGAATCAAATTTGTGTGGAATCTCGACCCATGTCGTTTATCCATACATCTTTATCTAACACATGACTTTTCAATTAAAATTATTTAATGTAAGTTTTAAACTTAGGAAATGATAATTTCAATATATGCTCTGGAATCTTATTGTAAAAACGTACCAGTTTCCCAAAAAAGAATTATTTACCTTTGTTAAACGAAATCGTAGTATATTTACTCTCGTACATATTGAGTTTTTCATAGTACGAAGCAACAATGAACACGGTGTTACAATTATTGTTATTTGTATTTTAACACTACAAGCACCATATTGCCAATGCAAAGGTGTATGGTACAGGGTCAACAGTACGTCAAGCTTGACACTTAATATTTAAATCCAATTCTACATTCTACCGACTATATAAATCTATAATAAACTATGGAAAAAGAAAACGAAAGTTTTATTTACATCTTAACGTTTATTAAAATTTTATTTGTGAACACACATATATTAGGTAAATAATAGTGTTGACCCATGTATTGTTATCTGTAACAAAACAATAAGGTTGTTAATAATTATACTAAAAAAGGAAGAACATTACAGAACTCATGTGTTCATGAGGTAACTCAATTATCATTAATGTTACATATTTATTTAGTCGCTAGCTCATGCTTGCATCATTTTTGGTGTTGAATTAGGTAAGTAAATACCTCATATGAATTATATATCACTGAAGATTTGTTCTTTTATATACAAAATTGCTTCAATGAGTAAAAATCACTACAAATATTTAAATTCAAACAAGTTTATAATTATTATAGCACAATAGATTACAATCTATCCCTTCTTTTAATTGCTTTGAATGGTATAAGTAAATAAATTATTCATTTTCTATCAATATTTTCATTTTTGCAGCAGTAGAGCTCTGTGTGAAAGAGTTGGTCCAAGGAAGTACTGCCACCTCACCTATTTCTGCCGCCAAGCAGTAATATGAGTATTACTGCATTTCAGCTTGTAAGGGTAAGGGTGCTGGTGAAATTACAGGCACATGGGACATGTCAACTTATGTCTCAGGGTGTTGGGTGCAGCGCAGTGCCCGTAATCAATGTGATTTTAAGCTCTGAGTGGCATTGCTACTTACTCATACTGTCCTTATAGTAAAAACTGTTGTACTATAGAAATATATGTATGTAGCCGACACATTGGTAGATTGTTAGGCAAACAAATTACTTATACCCTAAGAAAGTGTGGCTTTGAATGCCACCAAACACTCACAGAGGAATGTACAGACAACCACGTAACACTACAGTGGTTTAAAGGACACAGCGGCTCACATGGCAATGACACAGCAGATAAACTGGCCAGAAGATGATTGGACATGGACGCCATAGGACCAGAACCTATAGTGTCCCTCTCCTACCAATGGTCAAGAGCAACTATACACAAAGGTATAAAAACTATTCATAATAACACCTGGACAACCCAGACGGTTTGTAGACAGGCTAGGGAAGAACTCTCCATGCTTAACGCCAGTCTATCTCGTTAATTTTTTAACATCAAAAGGAAAGAGCTGCACATTCTAACTACCGCTCTAACGGGTCATGGTCCATTTAATAAACACCTTTTCAATCTAGGTTTCACAGACAGCCCTTTATGCAGAGCATGCGTGGAGCGGGAGGAGACAGCCGCGCAAATCCTACTGCAATGCTCTGGCGTGGCCAACTACAGGGCAAAATACCTTGGAGTGCCAAGGTCGCTCCCCGACGTCTTCGAACAACCCAGAAGAGTGTTGAGATTTTTGGAGGAGCTTGAGTGGCACGACTACGACTTTGCACCCACTACACGCAAAATAGGCGCTTGGACATCGAGTTGTGGACAACAGCCCGTTACACCATACCACACCAAGTGAGGGACACACTTAGCCATAACTGTTGTAGCGTCACTTTACATTGCAAAGACTCTGCACCGCTGCGCCTGCCAATCTCAAACATAAAGTTAGACAAATATATATCTGTAGTTTCACTAGCAGCCTTACCCTTCATAACCAGAACGCAGAAAAGCTCATATTACTGATTGGCAGCAGAAACAGATATAGTCTGGATGAAGCATTTTACAAGAAGCTGTACTGCTACAACTTATCTAAACTATCCTCTTAACACAATACAATGTAAATTAAGAAAATTTATCCTTACTTATTGCTGTTGGCGCTGATGTAGTGATAGAGTATGACCAAGAGGAAAATGGACACTCCCAAAATGTTAGAAAACACTGCAAGCTGGATGTCAGAGATCATTGTACTTGTCTGGAAATGAAAACATATTACAAATCAACATGTGGCTGAATACTGAACAGGATGAATGGAGTTCTACATAAACCAACTGAACAAGAATAAAAACATTACTTGGGTGTTTTGCTCTCAGAATGCTCTCAGAATGTTAATGACCTCAATTAGCACTATGGGTGTTGGAGGTGTGAGGAGGCTTCTTCTTTAAGAGTCTAGTTTGGCAGAATCAATTTAGGAAGACAATATTAGAATTTGTAAATGTAATTGTCTATGGTGCAAGCTCGTGTCATGTTGACTTTGAGGTTTCGTCCGTATTTGTGTTCAGAGAAAGATGTTGAAAAAATTAAATTTATTAGTTTCAGGTACATAGTGCCTCATTTTCTTCCCACACACTAATAGGACACGTTATGGGCCCAGAGAATCCACTCAGCTAGATTGGCAAAGAATAGAAAGTAATAAAATAAATTTTGAGCCGGCGAAAACAAAAACAATGGACGAATAAAAATGGCACTATCAGGGTCGGGGAGCACAGATACATACTTACAGTTTACAAGAATTGGTCAACATGGTTATTTAAAATTATAATGCATTCTAGAAGAAAAGCAATGGAAAGAATTTCAAGAAAATTGGTCACAAGACAAAATGGATGAAAAACAAAAGAACAATTTTTTCTCAAAAATGTCAAAGTAATTAAATTTGTACATTTTCAGTTACATAGTGCCTCATTTCCTTCCCATAAACTCATAGGACTTCCAATAGAAAATTCTTTTCGTTCCCTTGATATTAATTTAGTTACCCTATGACACCAGGTATTAGGTGCAGGTATGTGCCTGGAATAAGTAACAAAAGAATTGCAATGCTACACAGACCTTTAACTTCGTCACATTCAGTTTAAACGATCTTTTAGTCCCTTTTGGGATTGAGAGATTTAAGATTTCAAAAGATAGAGCTGCTTGAGACCTTAGAATACAAAGAATCCAAAGTTAACCTGGATTTTGCAGTCTCTGCATCTTTATTTTGCTCCTTAGTCTTTTGATCTCGACATCAAACGCTATGAGATGAAAAAAACAGGATAAAATCTCAAATTCTGCCTCTGCCGGTAGTTAAGTTACTATAAAACCGTGAAAATACATAACTCAATAGCGTGAAGTCTAACCGTGACAGGTCATCTTGCAATATTGATTGAAATGATATCGGTACTAACCTTTCAATAAACTTGCGAGTGATATGTAATAAATTAAGGAATTATTCTCCGTAAAACGTATTCAACTCACTGTAATTCGCCGCTAAAACAATTCACTACAAAAATCACACGTCAGTAAAATTTAACCAAAGAGAATCGTTGGAGAATAGGTTCAAGTTTTTTAAGCAAATCGATTCAACATTATGATGAATATTCCAATCCTAAATGAATGAATATCCAATTCTTTTAATTTTGATATACAAAATGGACACAATTCATTGAAATGTGGGTCAATTTTACGAAAATGAAAGGAATTGCTACAGAATTGCAAGGAATTGTGTAAATGAAAAACGATTTGGCATTTTAGGCCCCCTGAACAAACACACAACAACAACAAACGACAATTAACCGAAAAATAATCTAAATAATCACAAACTCCTAAAATTTTGAATCGATTTCTCGTGAAAATCGTATAGTGTGATATGATTACTCCACATCCCTATTCGCGTCACTATGACAAGTTAGTGTCAAATTTGGCCTCTTATTTGGTGACGCTGTGTTGGCAACTCACTGGTTATTAGCACTAAACCATGGAATTAATAAGTACTTCGTACAACTGGAAGGCTTACTGTGTATTGAAGCGTGCGCCGAGCGAGATGTCATAAATCTTGGTCCGTCTCTTTCTGACTAGTGGTAGACCTGTGGTAATAACAAACAGAGATGACGCCATATTATTTTAGTGTTGCCTAATGTAAAACAAATAAAACTTTCCAATAATATTTAAATATCGTGAAATAATATAAAGACTTTGATTTATTTGCGACCTATTGCATTCATAGTTGGTATGGTATTATTTACAAACATCTTATAATATTCATGGACAAAATGACGTATTGTTTTTATGCCAATTTTTTTTTATAGTCAACTACCGTATTGTATCAAGTATCTCACATGGCAATTGTGCGAAAGGGACACACCAAGAAAGAAGATGTCTCACTTGAGCTCAGATCTCTAAGGAGATATTGGTTATTTAAAAAGTATTTTATTGCTATTCATTTAACGTTCATTTTGATATGTCAAAATAATTGCAGTGAGCTTTCCAGTTGTACGAAGTACTTATTAATTCCATGCACTAAACATAGGTGGGTCAATGGCATTAAATGAAAGTCGTAACCGACTGAGGCCGAAAAGCTGTCAAAATATTTTTATCAAAATTAATTTCGAAACGATTTTCATGAGATCGATTCAGAGGCATATGATCCATTTCGATTAAAAATTGATTTAAAGCAAAAATTTTAAAATAAAGTAGTACTATACCACAGTTTTGTTTTTTAAAAAAAAGGAGTGATGTAGAGTGGTTAAAAACACCAAATATTCATTAATTACATTTTCGAATTCCGGAAATGGTTTTAGTGCATCGTAAGACAAAACGACTGAGCTAGGAAGTAAAGCAGACAATAAAAATGTAACGAGAAAAGTCACTTCCGCCCCTTCCTAGCTTTAGAGACCGCAATGCGCCCCGCGTAATGTCAGTGCCTCCAGTGAAAAAGGGAATAACTCAAAATCGACACTTTTCAGGAGAGACAATAAACCATACTTTTATTGATTGTTGGTTGTTCGTATTTATTACTAGCATTTTTTATGATTTCTAGCTTTAGGTATACATCTAAGCTTTCGTTTGATGGGTATTGGTTAAATATCCAGTCATAAATTCAATATTTTTTTAAAGTTTTTTTCGAGTTGTGTCCTTGTTTACAAAGAGCGTAAAGATACAACACGACTATTTTAACAAATTTAACATGTTAACAAAGTTTAAGACATAAAACGACTTATTCCTTTAGCTGTGACTGTTCTATGGTTATAACAATACTTATGACACTCATCTTTATCACAAACAAAGAAATAGTGCGACTTATTAAAGTAACTAAAAAATGTGTATGGAAATAACTGTGCGGTAAAAATAACGAAATTGTATAAAAATATGAAAATGTATTGTATGTTACATTAATCCGTACATTTGTCGTTGAAATAATTATAATTGTTTAAATCCGAGTCTTCGTCGGGTCTTACCGTTTTGGCAGTTAATAGATGAAATTCATGAAATTCACTATCAATTAATGGTAGAAGAGCCAGGAGATCCTTCTTTTTCTCAACATTTATGAGGAGAAGTTTGTCGGATCCGTTTGTCAACAAATAACTAAGATCTTTGAATCTTCCGAACATCAAGTATGTACTCGATCTTCCGAATCTCTGCAATGAAAGACTTTAGAAAATATTTTTACACTAGCTTTGACCGGTTCTTTCGTTCACTATTTATTTATTTATATTGCTATTGTAAAAGTAGCAAACTTACGTCACAAGCATTACTTCTTGGTTCAATAATTTCTATTTTATATATTCAATAAGTTCTTGATCCGTAATTAACTCTCTCTGCAATGAAAGTAAAGAAAAAAATAACTGAAAAGATTGACTAGAACTAAGAAAAATGTATAGGTACATATAAATTGTACCTAAAACTGTTATTGTAGGAACTATAGGTTACTTACACTAATTTACAAAGTCATAGGTTTGTAATTAAATATTATATGTAAGTATTGATATAAGTAGTGCATTCATCATTGATTGCCTCTCGATCGCGATGTTGTTCAGTATCACTGTAGCTATGATCAAACGATGCGGGAGGATTTCTAATAAAAAAGGGAACAAACATTACTCTCAAAATAAAGTACATAATTATATTGATACTCATCATCAAACTAAAATAAGCTGCTCTTAATAATAGGGCAAACAACGGCACCTACCTTTTAATTTAAAGATGTTTCTATTATAACTGTAAGAAAGTAGGTATTCGCCCAATGGTTGACAAAACTACATATTTATTATATATAAAACATATAATTTTTTTCTCATACTTGGCACTTTGAGACGATTATTGATTATTTTTCGCCCTCTATACATTTTTGCACCAAAATTATAATTATAACACAAATAAGCACTCGTGCTGTTCTGAGGCGCTATAAAGTTGTTGTAACAAGCACCATCCTCCGGATTCAAAGTAAGTCTTGGTTTAAATTATTTTCAACCCAATTATTTGTTGTCGTTTTGATAAAACATCAACTTATGCCAATTCAAACTAATATTACAAATTGCGAAAGTAACTGTATTGAGTGAGTTATGCCTTCACGTACGCTATGGAATAAGAGAACAGTCGCTTTAGGCCTACTTTTTTTTCCCTATCATTATGAAACAACACCAATAGTGTCTTTATGTAAAAGTATTTTTGTAGTTATTCGTAAAACTTGAACGTATTTTTTGAGTTGAGAGCACTTGTACCTTTAGATTCATAAAAAATGCCCGATAACTAATTGCCATTAGAAACAGTGAGTTATGCTCTTAGTCCAATATAAAAAACAAGGCTAGGAGACTGCTAGGGACATGTCCTTTTGATATGTTATGTAATCAGACACGCTGAAGCCAATGGTGCAATAAAAACAAAAGGGCATAACTCGTCTTATTCCGTTTTTCACTGGAGACACTGATATACATATTTGACGGTCACATTGACGAAACGGCAACAAGGATGTCAGTTATCTACTGCATTATTACATAGCACATTGGAATTACTTTAAAATCCAACTTCGACTTCCTAGGTCAGTAGTTTGTCCTTCGATACAGTAAAACCATTTCCGGAAATCCGGAATTCGAAAAATGACGCATACACTCAATGACGCATACACTCAACATAGCCCCGCATTAGGGAAACCCTGTGTCGCGGGTGCCATGGACACACACATAGACAACCACAAATTACACCCAAACTCACGAGAGAAATAATTGTAGGCCATACAACTATTTCTCCCGGCCCGGGAATCGAACCTGGAACCTCTGCGTGGCAGTCCGGCATGGTAACCGTTCGGCCACGGAGGCAATTTAAAAAAAAATCATTAAGTAACATTTGGTGGTTTTAACTTTATCTGTATATGTGGAACCATAAACTAATAAGAGATACTACGGGTCGTATTCTAGAACTCTACTCAATGCTCAAGTCAGGATCTGAGTATGATTTCAAGCACTGGAAATACGACCCCAATGGCAAGGACTTGAATATGACTTCAGTGCTTTAAACCCTATGGATCGTATTCCAGAACTCTACTCAATGCTCAAGTCAGGACTTGAGTATGATTTCAAGCAGTGGAAATCATACTCAAGTCCTTGCCATTAGGGGTCGTATTTCCATTGCTTCAAATTATACTCAAGTCCTGATTTGAGCATTGAGTAGAGTTCTGGAATACGACCCTACGTTGTGGAACACCTTTTTCCGACCTATGCCAAAACCTTACTTTTTTCCATCCTGTTTATTCTTTCTCCATTGACGTTTGTATTTAATTAATTTTATTGATATTTTTCGTATCCTGGATAATTCACATTTTAAACTAAGGACGGCTCTTACTGAAATACTGAAGATTTAAATCGAAACATTTTGTAAAGAAAAAAAAAGAAACTAATGACAAGGCAGTATGATTTCTGACCTTCTCCTGATCTATGCGGAACGAAGGAAAACAAAAAAGTTTATTATTTAATCTGTGGTAGACATTTTTTTTGTCAGAATCAAAATTCATGTTTCGGTTGAAATTGAGTTTTCACCGAACTTAAAGTATCATCTCTATGAATTAGCAATCTTATAATTAGTAAATGAACGTCCGAAGGAACAACAACTACAGTTTTACATAATATAACATAAATCATAGCAATGTATCTTTCTTCAATAAGTTCACGGCTCTTGTTGCACGACATTAACAGTTGGGATCTCAAAAAATCTTACGGGTGTTATGATGGCATCCTGAGACATATATCTTGGAGCGATGACAGCAAATATATTTTGCAGGTATATTCGTTTTTGTTGTGTATTATTTTCTAGCTATAATTCTACTGTATGCCATTGACGTCTCTTATTTCCACTGTTCTCTGTTTTGTGCTGTCGCTATTGTATTATAAAATAATCTTATAACAAATAATATAATTAATGAAATTTTTGAAATTTCACACACCACCTTCATACCCACTGACATAAATACTTATATTCACTACACAATTTACACATATTTTTCTTGTTGATACATCGCATCGCGCTTCCCACAAAGGCTGACTTTTGGGCAAAATCTGCACTAAGTTGTTGTTCTTTTATTAGAGTACAAACGGTTATGTGTATTTATTTAATTTCTATTTTGTTTGTTTTCACTGTTAATTTTAATTCCTGGTTTGTATTTGTTTTCCTTTTTTTATTATTATTTAAATAAAAATAAGCAAAAAGACATTTATTTATCCCCAAAACACATAAACAAACATAACCAAACTATTAAAACAAAAGAACAGTAATGTGGACAAAATGAATGAAGACCAGCATTGCTGAGTTTCAGGCTTCATCTTAAAGCTATTCGCTTACTGCATCAGACCAGTGGAGTATATACTTTAGTATATATAGTGTCTGTGTTGCACTATATATAAAATGTAGAAATATTAAAAAAATTGTAATTGAAAACAGAAAACATTCTAAAATCTAAAACATTTCCCAATTGAGTAGCTGATACAGTGATTTATTTCATTGCATGTTGAGTGAATTCAAAAAGGTTGCCTTACATATAATATGTTGTGATTCTTAAATTATTGTATTTATGTGCCTGCTCTAACGAATTAGGTTTTGCCTGCAATGTTAGTTGTTATGTACAAATAATTAAATAAAAATTTTATTTATTTATTTAGTGTTGCTAGTGGATTTAACCACTGACCAATTGCTACTCAATTTCTGCAGACAGGAGCCGTTGTTAATACATTTTTTTTAAAGAGTCAGTTTTTGTTGTGTGGGCTTGTGGGAAGACACTAAACATGTTATCTGTCTGTCAAATAGAATTTACAACCAGTGATGTTTGGGAAACTATCAGTGTGAGTTGGAACCATGTTCTTGCCTTCCATGGTGTACTGATTGGTCAAAGATGGAACTCAACATGGGCTGTGTTATACAGCTTGCGCCCTAAGCTCAGCTACAAGCAGAACATGGGATGACACTCCTCCATTTCAGTAGTAGTAGAGCTCCTTGTGAAAGAGTTTGGCCAGGAAAGTATTGTCACCTTACCTATTTCTGCCATCAAGCAGTAATGTGAGCATTACAGCATTCCGGTTTTTAAGTGGTAAAGGTGCTGGCACGTGGGATTTGTCAGCATATGTCTCAGAGTGATGAGTGAAGCAGTGCCCTTCACAGCTTTGCAATTTAAAGATCTGAGTGGCACTGCAACTGTCATGGATAGGCATGTCGCTTACAGTGGTAAGACATGCCGCGCCGTGCCTCACTAGGCACACAACTTGTTTGTCATATCTTGGATCTTTCAGACTGAGATGTGTGCCATAATCAGCGAGTTGCCTGTGTGACTGTGTGCATTGTTGCATTGTTTGAGACACAGGTTTGGGACACGGATGGTGCTGGTTGTTTTTGTTTCATTGTTGTACCTATATGTGTATAATTGTATCAGTTTGCCATGTTATCTTTTTGGTTTATTTAAAATATATTTAGGGAATGATAGGTTTAGATATTGTTAATTTTAAATATGTATTTTTTTCTCATATGTGTAACTGTTTTCTCGTACGTGTGGAGTAAACTCAACATGACGCGCGCGACACGTGAGGGAGCAGCACGCGCGCCGGTACGCGCGCATTATGCGAGTCTTGCGTGAGATGTAATTACCAATGGTCGGAATATATAGACTATTAATTATCTAAACTTCGAGGAACAGAGACAGAAATTGGAGACTTGCTTACAACAATATTTATTTGTTCCCGCCTTTTTCGTGATTCGGGACATTTCTAAAAAATCCGAAAAAAAATTGTTTTACTTAATACATGCAATTACAATTTATTAAGACGTGTATTCCAAATGTATTATTGATCCGAAACTGTCGGTTACTTCAAATCTTTGTAAACATCTCATTTATTGCGTGTATAATTTTTGTTTACAAAAGTGCATTGTCAATTTTTTCTAAGAAAACAAATAGGAATTGACATTTTGAATAGGGAAACTTAATTTCATACCAATACACTTAAAGCTGGTAAAACAATAAGTTTTTATTTTAGAATGACATACATTGTATCTATTGAAATTTATCGCTGAAAGCAAAATAATTGCTTTTAATAGTGTAACTTAAGTAAACCTATTGCAAATGTAAGTGGTGTAACATAAAAAAACCAGCTGTTGTGAAAGCCTGTGTACCGCGCTCTAAGTCAACATAGTGAAATCAGTATGAAAAGTGTTAATACCTTGAAACTGTGTTAATATTGTTGCAGTTTGCACCCTGCTGCATTACATATTGTGTTATCTTCACCCAAAACACTCTACTTTGCACAAATAACTGTTTCACAAATTTCATCCCAGACACGACGCTTTTAAGTCTACCCTCCAAATAATTTTTAATTCAATTCACCATAAACGAAATGCCAGCTGTCACTTGAAACTGACATTACCAGTGTTGCCATAATGAGCAAACCTCCTGTAAATGCAGGGACAACTCACAATGCATCTGCAACCAACAAAATTAACAAAAAATCCTGTGCAACAAGTTTGTCATATTTCTACGTGCTAATACCAGCGCCGCACAGGCTCCATGTACGGAAGATCGCAACGATTCATTTCACTCCCTAGGTGACAAGTTGGACCAGAGTAATGATGAATTGTGGCAAACTGTATCTACATCTAAGCAAAGTGATATTCGTAAAAAAAAGGAAGGCATCATCTTCTTCAATACACTACACTAATATATAAAGCAATGACACATACCGGTTTTTTGATTTTTTTATTTTTGTTTTTTTTTTATTTTATGATTTTTTTTTAATTCCAAAAATCAGAGAAAAGGACCTTATTGGCACACATTTACCAGAAAATCTGACAGACCATTTAGATTTGTGATAAAAATCTCAACCCTACAACTCCAATACAAGAAATCATAACCGTTATAGAAGAGACTGGTAACAAGATTAAAGGAGAGATTATCAACGCCAAATATGGACCAGACAAAATACCATTGCACACTTGGTTTGTACACCTAAAACCAAGCCCTAACAACAACAAGGTAAAAGATATCCAGTGTATGTTTAACACCAAAGTTACAATTGAAGAACCTAGGAGACAAAAATCAGTGGTACAGTGTAAACGTTGCCAAAAATATGGCCATACAAAAAATAACTGCATGCGCACATGTCGCTGTGTAAAATGTGCAGAGAATCACAAAACCTCAGTATGTCCTAAATAAGACCGCACCACCCCTGCCGAATGGGCTCTATTGTAAAGTTTATGCGGAGATACAAAAAAGGAAATCAGATGGGATACTACGCCATACTGAACCTGAAACAAATAAATATTCTACCTCTAATGAGAACTATAACGCACCAATAAAAACCACACTCAACACACAGAAGGTAAACTCTTAACAAACCAAGCACAGAAGATAGATTCTTTACTCCAACAACTGAGCTCCCTGATGAGCTTGATGGCTACTGTAATGTAGCCTAAAATTAACTACATCGAATACCAGTGATCTTTTATGTAATGTTGAGGAAGTAAAATTATTTGTTAAAGACTACAGTATTGATATACTACTCATCTCTGAATCACACCTTACTCCTGAATCACACTTTACTCCAAAATTTGTTCCCAGGATTCCTGTGTACACAGTGTACTTCACATCTCACCCAGATGGCACAGCATATGCAGGCTCTGCATTGATACTGAGAAACGCAGTGAATCACTACCATTTATCACAGTTTAAAACTCCAGAGATTCAAGCTACATCAATGGTGGTGTATGACCTGTATGGGTCAATAACAATCTCGGCCATATACTGCCCTCCGAGACAGAGCATTTCAGAGCCACTGGTCTCCAATTACTTCAGAACATTAGGTCAACGTTTTATAACCGGGGGTGACTGGAACGCGAAGAATATGCTTTGGGGCTTTAGACTAACTAATACTCGTGGAAGGGAGTTAAAGAATGCCATGGATCTTGGTGGATTTTGTCATTATTCTACTGGCGAACCAACTAATTGGCCAACAGACCCGAACAAAACACCAGATCTCTTAGATTTCTACATTCCATTTGGTAGCTCCAACATATACTGTCACATAGAGAATAGTCTTTACGGAAGTAGCGACCATACGCCAGTAATCCTGAGTATAAGCACACAGGATACAAAAAAACATCTTTTGTCAGAGCAGATGTGTCTCGCTACATAGATATTTCCCTAATCAATGTGTTGATACCTGTAAACCTAAATTTCCGTACCTATATATATTCATATTTGGTGGCTATTGTTATAATTTAATATTATGTCTGTAAAGTTACATTATTATTTATATTGCTTACCTTCATTACTTACACTATTTACATTATTTGCTTTACATCTTACACTTTTGCTTGATATATATATGTATAGTATTTAGAGTTAGGTATATATTTGCACTTTGGTGGCATGGCTTACTGGGCTGCGATCGCTCACCATATGGTACTGGCAGAAAACCAGCACTGTTTGACTTCTCTCGGTCTACAGTATTTATGCTGAGTCAGTGCCATTTCAGCACAAACTGTAGTCGTAGGTACATTAAAATGTTATCAGTTCTTATAGTATTTGTTTGTTTTTCTCACAGTATTTGTTTTTCTCGCACTATGTGTTTTATACAAATGTGTATAAAATTAATAATGAATGTTCTATGTGCTTTTATATATGTGAAGTAATTGTAAATGTTTTGTTTCTCTTTGTATTTGTGCTGAATAAACGTGTTATCTATCTATCTATCTATCTCTCTATCTATCTAACTATTATAATAAATAAAAAACCTATAAGAATAACAAATAAGGAAACAAATTGGGATAGTTTGGTGAAATATGTTGACACATTTGTTAACTCAAAAATGCCCCTTAAGTGCTCAGAAGACATTGATGAGGCAACCACTCATATTACCTTAGTCATTCAATGAGCAGGCTGGATAAGTACACTGAACATGGATAATTATGACAAAAGAAATAAAATTAGGCCTACAACGAACACAGTCAAGAATTTGGTACGAGAAAAAAGACGTTTAAGGAAAGTGGCACCTGACTAGAAGACAGTCTGATAAAACAGCATTTAACAAAGCTGCATCAAATTTAAAAACATTCCTCCAAGCTCTAGTAGACGCAACGTTCCAAGCTAAACTCGTAACTCTATCTGCATCGGGTAAAGGTGAACATTGTCTGTTGAAAATGGTTAAAGGCTATAATAAACCCCGTCTAGTCCGTGCCCTAATAAAAAACAGTAAAGTCTCCTGGGCAAGAAGTGAGGAAAGGCAAGCAAACGCATTTGGCATACATCTAAGGCATGTCTTTACTGCAAATGAATCTGTAAATGAAGATTGGGAAAAAGAAGTTGAAGATTTCTTGAATTCTGAGCTTGAATTAAGCTTATCAATTACATCTTTCACACCAAAAGACGTTGCTATACGTATTAGACATCTTGACAGTCAAAAAGCTCCGGGCTACGACTTAATAACTCCGCTAATATTGAAAAAGTTGCCGCGTAGAGGCATTGTTTTCATAACCATGCTATTCAATAGTATTTTAAGAGTGATTGAAGATTGAATCCAAGCAAGGAAAAGCTACTGCTTGAGAAGAAGTGAAGAAGAACGCCGAGCAAAGTATTGCTCGGCGTTCTTCTTGATATTCAGCAAGCATTCGATAAGGTATGGCATGCAGGCCTGCTTTTCAAGTTGAAAGAAAATTACCTCATACTTATTATCTCAAACTTGAAAAATAGGATGTTCTTCGTGCAATATGGAGAAGCACTATCTCAGATCCACGACATTCAGGCAGGGGTGCTTCAGGGCTCAGTATTGGGACGGATTTTGTACATATTGTTTACATCGGATCTTCCAGAAACTAATGGAGTATTTACAACGGCACATGCAGACTATACCACAGTACTTACCCGTGACATAAAACCCCAAGTTGCATCGCAGAAACCAAGTTCAACTTGATAAACTAGACCCGTGGCTCTCAAAGTGGAAGATCAAAGCCAGTGCTTCAAAATCTCAACGTATAACGTTTGCACTTAGAAAAGGAAACTGCCCTGATGTAAAAATGAACAATCAGACCTTACCTCACGTTAATACTGTTAAGTATCTGGGAGTGTATCTGGACTAGACTAACATGGAAAGATCACGTCAAAGCAAAACGGGATATATTTAACAACAAATTCAGATCTATGCTGTGGATAATAGATAGAAAGTCAAGGTTATCAGTTGAGAATAATCTATTGTTGTATAAGTCGGTATTAAATCCGATAGGGACATAAGCATTGGAGTTGTGGGGATCAGCCAAAACTTCTAATGTGGAAATTCTTCAACGCTTCCAAAATGGTGTACTAAAGACTATACTCCAATCTTGGTTTGTAAGAGCCCAGGAAATACATGCCTATCTTGAAATGCCAACTATTAAACAGGAGATACTGGCACGTAAAGAAAAGTATAAGTGTCGATTATCACTACATACGTATTGGTAAGATCTCTGGTTGACGAAACGCGTCCAGGTGGCTTGAGTCGTTTGAAAAAGTCAAGAATACTGGTTTTCTATACAGGGCTATTTTTAAAATGCTAACAGCTTCCCAGGACTGTAACTAGCATCATAAACACTAATTTTTGTTTCGCGACTTTTCACAAAACAACAAATTTATCACAAACAAATTTATTGTTTTTGTTAGACGGATAGGTAGTAATGATATGTATAGCAACGCCTCTCACGTGCTCATTCAGTAAAAGTTTTGGTGGCGGGTTTTTTGTTTTCGCAACGAGTTCTCGCCCTTCAATAGGAATGAAATTTATTTATCGATTAATACAAAATTATTACAAAACATTAAACATTAATACAAAATTATATTTTAATGTAATAAGTGCGTTAAATAAAAACAGTATTAATTAACAAGTACATTTCTCGATATTGATAAATTGTTTTCACTTAGTAAAAGTTTAAGTTTACAGTTTGAACACTAACTCCACTCTAACCAAGCTTAGGTTTGGCAAACATTTAAAAATAAAATAAGAATACATAAATTCTATGCGTGTTGTTGAATCTCCTCCTTCTTGTTCATCAATAAAATTCGTGATCCTCGTAATCTTCCGATTTATTGAAACTTGGGATTTAAAATGGATTGTGTACACTTTGAAACTTGTGATTAAACACTTTATCTTAATCTTAACAATCGTGACCTACACGCCATCACAATAAGCAATACTGAGAGATCGAGTAATGAAAAACACACGGGTCTCGCGAGCGTATCAAAGGCACCTGATTGCCGCAGGTAAATATAAGTAAAGTTCAAACGTGCAAGCATCCCTCTCGACTTTCCTACTCCACCTCCTCTAGCTGCTTAGAAAGTTTAGAGCTGCAAATTTAAACATTTTATTTTTTGTATGAAAATAATATTTTATAAATTATTAAAATTCAAGTAAAAAACCAAGTATGTCGCTACCTGCTTTGATACCTTTTCTGGCTTTTAGCCAGGTCTATTGCTTATAAAATTGCTTAAACAAAAGGGAGAGAGAGCGCAATATCGCTGTCTCACTCCGATAATTAATGACTGAGTCTACAGCAAGTAAATAATTTTACCATAAATTATCTTTCTTATTATGACATGAAAATCGAGACAGAAAGTTAAAACGTTAAAAGTTTTAGGATCCCGGAGGAATGTCCGTAAATCAACAGTATGTTTGAAATACATACTTAATAATTCTAATGGCATGTATTAAGTAAGAATTCTTTTTGTCGCAATTTTCCGTAAAATGGTTGCAACAACTTGTCGCAAAGTTTAGGTAAATATGGGCCTACCTATCCTAAATGACGTTGCTTTTTAATGTACTTAAGTGATGTCCCGAATCACGAAAAAGGCGGGAACAAATAAATGTTGTAACTAAGTTTCCAATTCCGTCTCTGTTAACGAAATTTAGGTAAATATAGCGTACCTATTCCGGCCACTGATAATTACAGAGGCGCACTTATAACAGGCGAGCAGCGCACATATAGCGCATTCGTCAGATCTGTACGCACCGTTTATATTACTCATTCCAAATTCATCAATAATAGAAATGACAATTATGTGCTTTTTAAACTCTATGTTTACTTTCAGGTAAATTCCAAAGGTCTCGTTGAGATATTGAGTCCCGCTGACCACGATTTACGAAGTTTGCAACATGTACCACTTAAGGACACATGGTCAGCCAGTTTCCATCGTGATGGTCATCGCAACGTTGCCATCGGCACCAAGAGTGGTAATGTATTGATCTGGGATACCAAAAACAAAACCATCACCAAGACCTTTCCTAGTCCAGTCCAACAATCTAGCGTGGATTATATTAGCTACAATGCAAAAAATGCAAGTTTGGCCGCAACCATGCATAATGGGGATACTGTTATTTATGGACTGGTCTCCAATATACCAGTGCTTACTGTGAAACTGCCCTGTTCCAAAAGCATCTCAGCAATGAAATTCCACCATGAATCACGTGCTTTGTTGGGTTTGGCTACAGATGAAGGCCACCTTGTATTGAGAGACATCACTACAAACAAGGATAAATGTTTTTTTGAAAGTGTTCACACTGCACCAGTCAGTGATTTTGCTTACTCTCAGGTTAACAAAGATGTCATGTTATCATCCGGATTTGATAAAGTGATGCATGTATATGATATAAGACTGCAAAATGTTGTTTCCACCGTTCGGACGTCCTACACTTTGACTTCATTGGCTATAAACACAGATAACTTGGTAGCTCTTAGTTCAAAGAATGGAGTTATATTAGTCTATGATTTGAGAAACCTCTCTAATCCATTCAAAGTTTTAAGCGAGCATGAGGAGGAAGTGAGGATAGTTGCATTCCAACCTGAAAGGAGAAGAACATTTTCTACGGAAATTAGTTTAAGAGATGATACTGACGTTCATCAGTCACCCTATACTACACATACACCGACGCGTGAGAGAAATTCGGACATGTTTTACATAGCTAACACACCTCCAAGCAAAAACTTGGATGTCTCAGGTCATGGAGAAAGAGCTGACTCGTTTCTTGTTATGATGGGTCTAGATAAATGTAACAATGCTCTGGATGAAGAAAGGAAATCTGTAGGTTTTGAGAAAACTGAGAAGCCGAACAGTGACCAGGTGGGAGTATGCTATCCTTGCGATCCAGACAAAAATATAAGTAAAGTGTCAACACCTCTGAACAATAAGCCAGCAGAAAATTTTAGTTTTCAATCACCAATATTCTCCACAAATGGTGTGCATGATGATGGTCGAGACACGCATATAGCAGATGATTTCAATCGGGCCAGTAACAATCAACAGCCAATGAGCACTTATGGTAATAACATCGATACAAAAGCTGTAGAAGAATTGAAAGATTTTGTTAAGTTAACCATGGCAGATGTCGCTGACGATAACAGAAATTATTTTCTTCACATCATGATGGCATTGACAAAGCAGAAACTGTTTTTGGAGAAACAGTTAACGGGAATGAATGAGCAAATAAAAGCTTTGATTCAGAACCAATCGGCCCTTGTAGAAACTAACAGAAAACTTGCTTTTGAAATTGATCAGTTGAAATCACCAAAACATGTCTATAGAATTCAAAGTTAAACATGCCCCATACTGTCGTTATGAAATACACTGTAAAAATTCTAGGTCATATTTGCAAAAAAAAACAGTGCCAAATAATTGTTGCAGTGCACTGTTGTCATTGTAACACGTTTTCTGCTTTTTGTTGTAAACAAATTGAAAATATTAAATTATTGTTAAAATGACCTTATGAATTTTATTTTAGCCTGCGAGAAATACAAAAAATTAACTTATCAAGTTTTTTTTATAACAATATTTTTGTAACTGCGTTTATTGGTCGTCATCTAAATATTGTTGGTATATTCACTCTCCCCTTGAAATGGCTCCGAGTTATACTGTTCAAGGAACAGGTTTGCAGGCAAGGAATTCCTCCATCGGCTATGGATTTTTATTCGTCATATAAATGTGGGAATGAAACTCTTCCGTCCGTGTTCTTAGAATATCTACCGCAGGGGTGGAATCCCAGCCTATGTCTAGTCCCCGGATGACAAACAATCGTACGGCCGTTTCTTCATGCTCCTTCTGGGTGCTCCCACTGGTAGGAGCACAAGGTCTAATTTATGTCCTTATGCTCCTATGTGACGTCGCGTGTCGTATCTAATAAGTTCACTGAACTAGAATGAAAAATATATCAAAATAAAAGTCAAAAATCTAGTTGAATAATGTAAACTTATCTTCGCTCTCTGTTTGGTAATTTTTCGAAAAAATTCAGAAAAATATAATTCGAAGGCTCATACGTGTTCTACGTCTAGATAAATCTTTTTAAGTTTTATTTAACGTGAATTGAAATTAGTATATATAGTTTGTTTGAAAAAACAAATATACGCGATTTAAATCCGGAAAAATAGTTTCATTTCCTATAAAATAAATAGTAGTATAGTGTAAACGAGATTTGAAATTATAATAATAACATGCCACTTTGTCAAAAAGTTCATGCAGATGGAAGAGGACGAAGTAGGATCTTATTACACACCCTCCACATAGATACACGTCCGATTTTAGTGGTAAAAACCAGTCAACAGGCTGAGAAAGAAGAAAATAATGATGTGGCGGCGTGTCGCTTCCAGCACAAATGCAGAAGGCGGTCCTGCTCGATTGTGTACGTATTGTGTGTACATGGTATGTACGTAAGCTGGTTCATAAACCTGAGTCCCTGATCCCGGCCGTCTGTGCCGTTGCTGGGGCATACCGCCTCTCCCATTTAGAAATTCAAAATTCATCTTTAAGGCCTTGGGAGAGGCGAGAATCTAAAATAAATACAATAATAATAAATTTATTTATTTCTCACCACAATACAACGTAATAAGCATAATAAAATAAAAGTTACGAACTGTCTATTGATATTGCGGGAAACTTATGCTTAAATAGGCTCAAGGCCTGATTCTGGACACCGGGGTCACAGATTACACCTCCAGATCGTAAACATAACCTTTTATGTCTGATTAGACGTAGGATAGTAGTTAGATGTAGGTCGGACCAGGCACTACCTTGCGGAAAGCTGTATATGATCTTCTGCTCATCACTAACAAACTCGTTTATTTTAATTCACTGGGTACGGTCATACGGATAGTTCTCAAAGTCTTAGGGTCGTATTTCAGATCTCTACTCAATACTCAATTCAGGACTTGAGTATGATTTAAAGCACTAGAAATCGTACTCAAGTCCTGATTTGAGCATTGAGTAGAGTTCCCCTAACTCCAGATGCTTCCAGCTTCCAAATTAGGATGGATATCGATATCGTGTCGAAAGCCTTAGCCAGATCCAAAAGTGTACCTAAAACTAAAACCTTTTGCCCACCATACATTTTTGTAACGATGTAAATGAACTGCATCAGGGGGTCTCCTCTCGATTTCCGTCCGACATCCGTCCGAAACCATTACTGCCAAATAAGCACTACTTGACCAAATGGAAAGACGCGTGATGCGAATGAAGCTTCATACTTGATACTTGTCTTTTAATTTTGTGGAATATTACTTATTTGACAGTAATTGTTTCGGACAGATGGCGGACGGAGATCGAGAGTAGACCCCCAGACGCGGACGTTTCGGAACGAAACCCAAGTGTGACGAAGAGAGTAGGTACATTATGCTTGTACAGAAAGTCCATAAGTCTCGTTCATGAGTCGTTCAAGTATTTTGTAGAGGGCAGGTAGCACATCTATTGGTCTGTAACTAATGGAACAGCTTTTGAAGATCAGCAGCTCGATTTTGATTGCCTCTCCCGATGGGAAACTGCGTCTCTTCCGAGTCGAGACGCATAATTGCGATTCACAACTTTACTCTGGCCGATCGGAAACTTTTAGCATTTCAAATCGGAACAATAGCTGATTTAACTCACAAATTAGAAAGATATAGGAATCAAGTTCATCTTCTCGTTCGGAAACCCATCTGCTTTCGAGACTCGGATGGGTTACCCGATCGGATCGACTCCGATTTGAATTAGAATTAGCCTGCTGGTGAAATAAAGACCTTTTGAAGACACGAGGGAACACGTCCATCGATAGGGCTAAGTTGCAGATAAAAATGATTGGACAATAGCGAAAAAGGATTCTTCTTTTTGCTGATTGGCGGTGATTTCGGATTTCGTCATTAGTAATTAAAAAATTATATTGCCTTTAAAAATTAAAAATGTTAACATTTGTTGGGTAATTTTCCGAAAAAAATCAAATAGTGGAGTATTTCGAAAAAATTCCCTGAAAAACTGGAAACATTTGCAAAAATAATTTGGAAAGTTCATATTATGTTCTACGTACATCTTTTGATTGAGCGCGAAAAGAAAACTAAAAAAAAACGTAAATGAAAATCGAGATTGAGGGTCGTATTCCAGAACTCTACTCAATGCTCAAGTCAGGACTTGAGTATGATTTCAAGCACTGGAAATACGACCCTAAGGGCAAGGACTTGAGTATGAATTCCAGTGCTTGAAATCATACTCAAATCCTGACTTGAGCATTGCGTAAAGTTCTGGAATACGAGCCTTACTGATTTCATAACAGCGAAAAAACCTCCAACAACCACACCACCACCACTTGTTGTTGGCTCCATCGTTTTCGTTCAGTAACTTCAACTTTTGACAGGTTTCAACGTTAAACGTAGAAAATTAAAGGAAAAATATTTATTATTATTAATACAAAGATCGAACACTCAGAAAAAATTCCTTCGATCCGGCCGGATTTTAACCGACGTCTTCTAGCATACCGTGGCAGACGCTATACCGACTAAGTTACGGAACGAATCAGCGGACCTCACGAATTTTTCTATGTGCTTGTTGTATCTTCGTATTTGGTTTTTCAACGACTTTTTAGTCGTAGCGCCATATATGAGAAATCTTTACAGCTACCGGCCCTGGCGAGAGACGTCGCTATTCACTGTATTCTAAATTTTTATTGAATTGATATTCAATTATTTTTTGTGAAAAGACTTCACTAGTTTGTTATAATAATTAACACAAAAATATTTATTTTTCTGAAAAAATATGATTTTTTCAAAAGGGACATTTTTCTATGACCCAACATTAGCCAATGACCAGTAAAGTTGCTAATATAAAAAAAAATCATTGGCTCTATTCTTTTCGCTCCGGATGGAAAAAAATTCTCTTCCTACTTTCCTTTATTTTCTCTTTTTGGGGCATTTATCGCTCCCCTAACTAACAATAAAACGGCCTCGTGAACTTCGTGAATGGCAATATAATTATGAAGTTTCGTGGATTTTACAAAATCTTTATATCAAATATAATTTATAATTTATCTTTATTTTTTTCCATCCTCTAAGTTCCTACTAGTCAAGGTTTGACAGGTGTCAACGGTCAAATGTGGAAAATATAGGAAAAAAAAATATTATTGTTTAAATTCCTTATGAATTTTTCAAAATGGAAATTTTTCCATAATCCTACACTGTGTGCCTTCGCTAGTGCAGGCACTTTAATACTGTAAAAGCCATTAAAAAAATGTAAGTCGAAGATTTGTCTCTTGATTAATTTTATTAATCCTATGCCAGGAAACATATGTTTAGAAAAAAAAGATTGTCAAACAAATTTAACAAACTAGCGAACGTAATGCATTTTACACTTTTTTGTCTTTAAAACGTATACAATTAACAATAATAGTTTCAAAAATAAAGCCATTACAATATTGTAGTTTCGTCTAGCTTTGTTAAGTTAATTTCAAGGTAATGGGTGAACTAACTGTAACGAACTTGTTTGAATCACATACGATATTTGCTGATCACAAGGATCTCATTCACGATGTAGCATACGACTTCTACGGCGAGAGGATGGCTACTTGTTCCAGTGACCAATCTGTTAAAGTAGGCAACTTGTATTTTAGACATTATTGATAATATAATATTACTGTTGATATAATTTGGTAAGGAACACGAGAATTATGCCGGTATTTTTACTGCAACCTAAGGGACCGATACATTTTTAGGACAGTACGTTTTAAATGGTATTGAAGAGAGCAACAGACTTTTACTACCACATTTGGTGCTCCTTCGAAAGAGCAGTGACGGTTTTGATGTATCCAGGATATCTCCAGTACCATTGACCATAACTTCCTTTTATGGTCTGTTTTCCTGGGAAACTATCTACTTTTTCTACTATCTCTTCATTTATGTCTGTCACACACAGTTGCAGTGCCACTCAGAGCTTTAAATCACAATGATCTGAGCAGTCCAGTAGTGCAGTCCATTTTGGGTAGTCCATCCACTGTACGGCTAATGTGCAAACAGAAATGAATAATTCGCACGGTAGTTAAAACTGGTGTTCTAATTAACTTGCCGGTTTGTGGACAATGATAGTACAGGACACCCCATTTTGCTATGTGGATCTCAAAGACACAAACTACGGGCTTTACTGTGAGATTCCCATCTGCTTTCTATGTACTTGCCGTGTACCACTTCTCAGTAGAGAAGTATCAACAACATACTGATAGATTGTATGTTGTACATCGAACATTTTATATTAAATCTAGAAGCTTCCTGGCATAAAGAAAATAGATATGGCATAATAAAATTTAAAAAACTAATTGTTTGATTCAGGTGTGGGACTCTGATGGCCGTGGGGACTGGCGGCTCACCGGCAGCTGGAAGGCACATCACGGGTCAGTGTGGAAGGTGACATGGGCTCATCCAGAGTTTGGACAGGTCCTCGCCACCTGCTCCTTTGATCGTACTGCTGCCATTTGGGAAGAAGTTGGTAAGATGAATTAAGGTCATTGAGGAAACATAGGGATTTTGCTTTGTTATCTCATTGCAATGGCTTGCAAGTAGCAATTCAAACTCATATGAATACATTATTATTATCAATTTCACTGTCATTAAGAAGAGTGTTAAAATTACAAATAAAAATATTACTAAAGTGATATACCAACCACTGACTAACAACCACTAAAGGAGTATACTGCATAAAAGAAACTAAAAATACATGTTCGGTTTTTTCTAAATACTTGATAAATAAATAAGTTATGACATCTCAAAGTTTTCTGAGAAATTTTGAACGATATTGACACTCAACTATTGGCAGTGTCAGCGAGCGTGCGAGTTTATTAACCTCGGTAGCCGAACGGTCAGCTCTGTGGGCGCTGGTGAGGAGGTCCTGTACTCGATTCCAGATAGGATAGGGTAATTGCTGTGGTTGTTGCTGGCCCTTTATTTTACTGTAAGAACTTACGTCCGTAATTTTCGAAGCACTGCACTGTCAGTTTTTAAAGTGTCAAATGCATCAATAATGTTTGATTGTAGTTCGTCAAAGCTTTGAGCTTTATTGACATACACACAGAGTTTAACGTCATACACCTCATAAAAAATCATGGAGTACTGCTAAAATTGTGCTTCGTTCTTATACCTCATACAGTCTTCGAGCGGAAGATTCCAACCGCTTCCAATAAAACATGAATCAGTCATAATGCTCCCGATGAGAATAGATTGTTATGCAAAGAAACACACCCATACCCAGTACACGTTTTGCAATTCTCAAATCTATTAGCGATGCGTATGCATCTGCGTCGCTTTGCTATTTTGAGGAAACCACATGTTAGAAATTATTGGGAAATATTAACATTTTAAAACAGCAAAAAAAGAGGGAATTTTATTTTATATTTTATTTTACTAATGTATTGTATTACTGAATCTTAGGCACGGGAAAATATGGACTGTGGATTTTGTTATCAACCTGTATGAAGGATGAAATAATTAGAAATTTAAAATTGGTATTTTCCGCAATCTCCCAAAAATATGCATTATTATAATAGATTAAGTATTATTATTCGGGTATTTTATACGGGCCTGTGTTGATAAACGACCTCTTGTGATCTCAACTAATTACAACTACTATATAGTGAAGATTTAACTGTCGGATTTACTGTTTCAATTTTATTGTATTTACCACCTTTGAAAATTTTAACTTTAATTAATGTTACAAAATTGATTCCTGAAAATTCACAATAAGTGACGTACAAAGGCAATAGGTGAAGACCTAGGCCCTTGGGACTGGTGGAGGAGTGCTAAGGTAAAAAGCTTGTATGCGTTTAGCTTCGGAGGTGTAGGGTAAAGAAGTATTTGCCGTACATACTTATAGCAGTAGGAATAAAAACAAGAGTTATAAATAAAGAAATATAAGCTTATTCAAACTACAATGCCTTATGGCAGCTTTAGGCAGCATTCAAGGGTTGAAAACAACTTTATTGAAGAAAACTGGCAGATAAAAAGTACGATTTTATACTTGGGACAAATGAGAACTATACTTGTGTGTGTCAGCTAAATTGTCTTATTAAGTAAGTACATTGAAAGATTATTTTTAAAGGGGAAACAGCGGCACCAGGGCCGGAGAAAGGCCTGCGCACATGGGTGAAGCGGTCTAATTTGGTGGACTCCAGAACATCTGTGACTGATGTAAAGTTTGGACCCAAACACTTAGGCCTCCTATTAGTCACATGTTCAGCAGATGGCATCATTAGGTACGTCTGTAACCTATTACACATAGTATTCCCTTGAGAAGAATTAAGAATTCTTTGGGAATGCTTATTGTTAATACTTAGACAATATATGAAATTCATTTTAAAATACACTAGCAGAAAAAATAATAATAAATAAAAGATTAAAAGAAAGGCATCCGCGGATAATCTGCATAAATTAAAATATCCGCACTCATCGATGCTGATATTTATTACGGATGTTCGAGTCGTGAATAAATCTAAAAGGCACGCTGGAATAATCTACAAACCTTCCAGAAACAGATTGTAAGCCGAAAAAGCAACTCAGCTGTCGTTTTTAACACAGGCAGTTTGATTGTTATCAGGCAGATTGATTCTTTTGTTAATAAATGTCACAAAATCATTGAAATAATAATTAATTACAATACCAAAGAAAATAAAGCTTTTTTCATGTAGATAGATTCAAGTAAGGATGTACATTTTTGGCGTTTACATAAAATCAGCATCTGGTGATGTGTAAAAAACCTGCATCAGCAACAACCCTGAACGGAACCAGAATGTACGGGCCATGGTTTTATTATTATTAATGAATTCACAGTTTTTAGGTGTAAATAGCTATTGATATATTGGAATTTTATACAATAAATTCCTTTTATTGACAACATATCAAAGTACAAACAACCTGTTAGCATTTACCGAAGTATGATTTTTTTAAACTACATACCACTTTGTCATTTGTTATTTCGCTTTTGCAGAATATATGAAGCTCCAGATGTTATGAATTTAGCCCAATGGACATTACAGCATGAAATACCTACCAAAGTATCGATAAGCTGTCTGTCTTGGAACCCTTCACTTTCCAGGTGAGTTTATTCTAATTTAGTCAGTCAGTCGTCATATTTTTTATTTATTTATTCAGGAAAATATACAGACTTACACAAGCATTACAAAAAAATCATTATATTGCTAACAGACCAGATTGTACCTATAGTGTATATATATATATAGTATTGTGTTGTACTTATAGTGATAAGTACAAATATTAGAAATTTTGAGTTTGTACAATGGACACTTATCTAAAACGAAAAGGGTTGGTGATATCTTTAAATTAAAAAAAAAAAAACTTTTTGTTTTTTCTTGGGTTTTTGCGGTTGACTGAAGTAAATCAAAAACCTACATACAGGTTTTTGATTTGTTTTTAAAACAGGAACATTTATACATAAAACGTAAACAATGTAAAGATATAGTAGTCCTAATGGGGTCCAATTTAATTTTCACATTCTTTGGTTCTGTTGTTGAAGACTTGCTTGGAGACTATTAGAAACAATCCTAAGCGTTAACAATGTAATTGGTTTTGGCGTTTTTTTTCTTTTTTTAATGAAACAAATTATATTCATGGATTAATTTTTATTCGCATCACAATGTCACAGTCTATTTGTGATGAAAATGTACTTTATGTTAAACAAATACTAATTTTTAACATAAAATTTGAATTAAAATAAAATTTTGAATGAAAATAAACCGACTGTTCTTAACAAAGCTCCAAATACATTAGACGCGTTTATTCGACACGAATTTCATCGCGCTCACGCCGCACAGCGACCGCGTGCATCTAACTGTCACAAACATGGCAAAATACACTCTATTTACTTAGCTTTTACGTTTTAACTTAAACGAACGTCTGCTACCTGGGTGGTCACCGCGTGGCTGACTGCCACGCGAAAACTTTCGCATCGTGTAATTGGGCGTTGAGGGTTTTTACTTAGGGAAATCTGCCTTCCCAAGAATCAATTTGACGATTTCAAATGTAATTTACTGCCCTATAAAATAAAGATACACATCGACTGTGAACTGGCAGCCGGTACTATCTGAATTTTGACAACTTTACAGGATGAAGAAAAAATAATTTACATAGCACCTGGTTTATTAAATAAAAATACGTAGTGTACATACATACATGCGTAATAAAAATATTTAAAAACTACGCATTTTCAGTCAACCGTGACCGTGAGACCTGTAAAGGGCCCAAAACGTTGGTTTTAAATCTGGATTTAAATCCGGAAAAATAGTTTAATTTCCTATGTGTAACAATCGTGAAAACCTAAGAACTCGATACGTATTTTTATTTAATAAACCGGATGCTATATAAATGACGCAAACAATGTTTTTCTTCACCTGTAAAGTTGTCAAAATTGAGATAGTACCGATTGCCAGTTCACAGTCGATATATTTGTATTTTTGAATGTTCCTGAGAAAATTATATAGTATATCTCTGAATAGCACTTAGTTATGTAAGCTATTTAAACTAATAATTAAATATTTAAACTGCCTCCGTGGCCGAACGGTTACCATGCCGGGCTGCCACGCAGAGGTCTCAGGTTCGATTCCGGGGCCGGGAGAAACATTTGTATGGCCTACATTTATTTCTCTCGTGAGTTTGGGTGTAATTTGTGGTTGTCTATGTGTGTGTCCATGGCACCCGCGACACAGGGTTTCCCTAGTGCGGGGCTATGTTGAGTGTGTGCGTTATTATTATATTATTATTATAATTGTCTCCGTTCTCTACAATATTCTACGTAACCCTATGTCTCCCGGGGATCTCGAAAGAGCGTATCAGCTTTCTCAGGTCCTAGGATAAGGTCCTGTCGCTCTCTCGTTAGGTTCCAGTTATCTTTTCCATTCTTCAGTTCCGCGTTTTTTTTTCTCTCCTTCACTAGTCATGCGGACAGACTTTGGAATAGAGTTCCTATTACTGCTCACGATAGTAAATCCTTAGAAATTTTCAAAATAGAGTTAAGGAGCATTATTTCTTGAGTGTTCAGTGTAAAATGGACGTTACATGTATTTATCTAACTATTTATATAGTTTTAATAATTTAATGTTTTTGATATAATTTTTTTTTATTACGTAATTTTTGTTTTATTGTGCACTTACATAAACCCGTTATTGTAATTATTGTATCCTGTATTTAGGTCTGCAGGAAGAAATTTCTGTTAAAAATAAGCAGTACCAGTTTGTGTTTTCCTTGTTACTAAATGTGTTTTTGTGTTTTCCTGTGCAATAATTGATTAAATTATGTATATGTATATTATGTATGTATATATACTATGTTTTTTTTTTTACAGAGTAAACCCTCCTATGCTTGCTGTGGGATGCGACGAGCCTAACACCTCGACAGCAGTAGCTAGCGTGCAAAATGACAAAGGGAATTTATGTAACGGAAAAGTCTTTATATACGAGTAAGAACATTTACAATTTTTTGTTTATAAGCTGCTATGCTAAGTGGGTATTAAATCCACAGTCCCAATTATAACTTTTTTTGTTATATAAAGTGACGGGACGAACAAGTCGTGCACCTGGTGGTAAACTACACGCCTATCCATAACAGTTGCAGTGCCACTCAGAGCTTTAATTCGCAGATCTGAGGGGCACTGTTAGACATAAGTTGACAAGTCCCCTGTACCATGTAATGGTTCAGCACCCTTACCCTTCAAAACCGGATCTCAGCAATGCTGACATTACTGCTTGGCGGCAGAAATATGTAAGGTGGAAGTCTTCACTGGATGAATTAATTCACAAGAAGCTCTACTGATGCAAAAAAACTAACTAAAAACAACTGGATATCTATATCAGAAAGAACCAGAATAACCGACATTAGACAATTGCAAAACTTAAGTGGCGGGGCGCAGTTCTCGTAGAACAGATAGCCGACGGACACAAAGAGCTCTCGAGTGCCGAGCGAAAGAATATCGAAAGACGAGCGTGAGCAGACCCAGACCATCCACCTACCTATGACCTATGAAATAATTCACATTGCCGCGAAAGGGAGTGAATGCGAATTTTGTAACCATAAGGCTACAAACTGGACGACAGCCACTATCGGCGCGATGGTGACAACCACAGAACAATAAATACGGTAGAAGAGGTTAGTTAGCGTCCGACGCGTGCCAACTGTAGGTCTCGTTAGACCTACTTGAGCTCAGACCGCCATTTTCGCTTTGTATGGTATGGTTGTGTTTTCTATTTTTATTTTTATTAGTTCGTCGTAGTCCACCTACTGACCGCAAGATGGCAGCACGTTGAATAAAATTTCAATATAAAATCAAAACGTCGTAACTTGCAGTAAACGAACTTTCAACGATTTTGCGACTGGGTATAAAGTTTAAATTATATCCATCAAATAATTATATATTTAAATTGTAGAGTTCTTAGGTTTTCGCGATTGTTACACATAGGAAATTAAATTATTTTTCCGTATTTAAATTGAGTTATAAATCGAAAATTTCAAACAAACCAACGTTTCCTGTGACCACGGGACCTGTAAAGGGCCAGAATCGTTGGTTTGTTTAAAAAAACAAATATAAATAATCCAGAATTTGATATATATTTTTAAATTAGAAACTATGACCAATCATTATCAAGATTTCATAGTGTTTATTATGTGTGTGTGTGCGTTTTCGTAATAGAGGATGAAGGCACTTCCATCGTTTTTTTCTTCCGTGGCGACAACGACGCGAACAGACCAGTTTCACCGCGCCGCTGGAAACTGGTGAAACTGGCTTGTTCTCGACAGGCTCGGTTTGCATTCATTGCAGTATTTCCGGCAATTTTCACCGAAATTACGAAACTCATAGACAAAATCTGGATAATTTCTATAATTACGCTCGAATGACCATGGAGACGTTTGTCTATATTCTTGAAAATATGACGCCAGAATTGGAATCCGACTTCAATTATGAACGAATAGTATCACCAGCAGAAGAATTAACGCTGATCTTGGGATAAGTAAAGTAACAAAACATATTTTAATCAACTTGATTGATCGAAATATAAATGTAGGTAAACAACAGGACGACACTACGACTATTATAACGCACATCCACCGCGCGACTGTCGTGTCTCGCCGCCCGCGCCGCTGCCGTCAGAACAGCGTATTTAAACTTAGGCATTTTGATCAAGTCGCGCGAGCCGCCGTCCGCTTCGCTGCTGCCGCCGAGCCGTTCGCTGTCGTCCAGTTTGCAGCCTGACATGATGAACTTTATCTGAATCGTGTAATGTACAAATTAGATACGAACGACCTCGGTGGCCTAACGTTGGTGCTGAATGCGGAGGACCTGGTTTCGATTCCCGGTAGGACCAATTTGGGGACTGAAAATTTCTAAATTGGTTCAGGTCACGGAAGAAAAACAATGGACGTGGCTTAAGCCTCGATTATATTGTTATAATTTAAGCTACGGAACGACCCAGCAGACTTTACGAATTTTTCTGTGTTTGTTGGAGATATTCGTTTCTGGTTTTAAGTAATGGTAGCTGTAAAGGTATCTCTCTGAGTAAAGAAATAAATTTCTCACAGATGGCGCTACGACGAAATCGTTAAAAACCTAAAACAAAGATTTGCAACAAACACATACAGAAATACGTTCGTTCCCTGACTTGATTGGCAAATAAGAGCATCTGGCACGGATTGCCTGAGGATACTGGTTCGAATCCAGCCGGATGAAATTATTTTTTTCTTAGTGTTTCGATCTTTGTTATAATAATTATAACAAAGTAATTTCATAGTAAGTTCATACTGCCTCCGTGGTCGAACGGTTACTATGCCGGACTGCCACGCAGAGGTCCCAGGTTAGATTCCCGGGCCGGGAGAAATGTTTGTATGGCTTACATTTATTTCTCTCGTGAGTTTGGGTGTAATTTGTGGTTGTCTATGTGTGTGTCCATGGCACCCACGACACAGGGTTTCTCTAGTGCGGGGCTATGTTGAGTGTGTGCGTTATTTATTTATTATTTATAGTAGTAGAATTTGTCGTAATTACTTATGGTGTATTACCGTGACTTGATTAGATACAGCGAAGCATCGCGAAGGTGGACGCGGACGGACTGCCTTTCGTCGGTGCAGGAGCCCGTCAACGACATCGCGTTCGCGCCCAACCTCGGCCGGTCGTTTCACCTGCTCGCAGTGGCCACCAAGGACGTGCGCATCATCAAGATTGAACCGCTACCGTAAGTAGAGACTTTTGAATAGTTGTTAGTTCGTTTTAGTGAAACTCGCAGTTTTTAGAAAAGAGAAGAGAGGCAGAGGAAGACCGAGACGAAGTCACTTAGATCAGATAAAGGAAAAAGTTAATGTCGTGTCGTATCAGGAAATCAAAGCTAAAGCGCTAAACAGAGATTGGCGATTACCCCACCGACAGGAGCCTAGCTCTTAAATAAGAAGAAAGAAGCGTACTTGGGTACATTTTGTGTTCTTCGAACTAGTTTGTAAGTTTACGAGACTGCTTCGTCGCGATGGTACGCGTATAATACTACGTTGTTGTGAACGACCTCTCAGTTATGATCCAGCCGTGTCAACGGCGGGCGTGTGCCGCTGGCATCGGCGAGACTGGAGGCGTTCACTTGCGTATTTCGCTTGCTTGTGTTGGTTGGGTACAAGGCGTAGAAATCTTCCATCCGCACAAAGGTCTTCACGAACTTTCCGCTTTGCGTTGCGGAGAGACTTGCGCGCATGCGCGGCGCTTTTAATTATATGGACGTCGGGTCCGCGCTAAAAAGTGTCCGAACTTATAGGGCGTTAAAATCGTATACAGAGCGTCATTCACGCTTTAGTCTTCGTTTGTTCGACTGACAGCGAAGCAAGCAAAATTAGACAGTACTGCGATGACATTACAATTTAAATCTAACGTTTTAGCTTTTTCATATTCCTTTACATGTCACTACGTTTAAATAGGTTGACTTGGGACATTTTTTTCGTGGTTTTTGTTTTAGACCCGTCGTCCATTTATTTGTAAGTCAATGCCTCTCCCGGTCGGAAACTGCGTCTCTTCCGAGTCGAGGCGCATAATTGCGATTTACAACCGGCTCGGAAACTTTTGACATTTCAAATCGGAACAATAGGTGATTTAACTCACAAATTAGAAAGATATAGTAGGAATCAGGTTCATCTTCTCGCTCGGAAACCCATCTGATTTCGAGACTGGGATGGGCTACCCGATCGGTTCGGTTCCGATTGGAATTAAAATCAGCTTGCTGGGTCAGTTTCAGTTCAGGGTTCAAAGTGATAATTTTATTATCATTGATAGTTATCGCGATAATTATTCCGATAACAATAATTATCTTGATAATTTTAAAATTAATTTCGCTAGCATTTTTGAGGATTTTTGAGGGAGGCAATCTTTTAGGCCTTGGGAAAGGCGAAAGTTTAACGCGCATACACTCATACTCCGCACCAGGGAAACCCTGTATCGCGGATGCCATGGATACACACATCAATCACAAATTACACCCAAACTCACGTGAGAAATAAATGCAGGCCATACAAATATTTCTCCCGGCCCGGGAATTGAACACGACACCTCGGCGGTCCAATACTGTTCGGCCACGGCAATTTATTTACTGTCTGATTGTGTTAGTATTTCAATTTAATTTAAATTTTTCTTTTTTTTTTTCATTGTTGTCCATTTTTATGACAGGCCATGGCAGAATATCAGCGAGTGCTATGTAATTAGCATAGTCCTCAAATGTTGAGTCATGGACCTTATTGACACGCTTTTTTTAGGAAATGAAACTATTTTTCCTTAATAATATTTTCATTTTCATTTCCTTAATTATACTTAATAAATTTCATTGAACTTTATAAAAATTCATTCAATAAAATAATTTGTAAAACTTAATGTAGTGTAAATTGGAATGTTTTCTTTGCAAAATTAAAAATAAGATATTTAATTAATAACTATTGTAACTATAGTGAAAAAAATAGGGTGGTTTGCATCAATATTAGACATAACTGGTTGAAGACTGTACCACCTAAGTCAACCGTGACCATGGGACCTGTAAAGGGCCCGAAACATCGGTTTGTTTGAAAAAACAAATATATGCGATTTAAATCCGGAAAAATAGTTTCATTTGTTATGTGTAACAATCGTGATAACTTAAGAACTCGATACGCTTTTTTTGTTTCCTTATTTGTTTTTGAACGAATTATTTGATATTTTGTAATTGTTTGTATTTTATAATGTATTTGGCATGTCAAATAAATACGATGTTTTTTTTTAATATCGATGATTTCGAACCCTGCTCTTATTACATGGACATCAAATATTCCTGACGGTAACATCACAATTCTCAGCCGTTTCTGCTTTGTACGATTTCGGCAGAGATTCGGCGAATGTCGCGACGGCGAACGGCGGTTGTGGAGTGCGCTTCAAGACGGAAGTGATGGCAGCGTTCGAGGAGCACTATTCGACCGTGTGGCGTGTCTCGTGGAACGTGACGGGCACGCTGCTCGCCTCCTCCGGCGACGACTGCTGCGTACGCCTATGGAAAAGTACGTACCTGGGTACCTACCGTGACTTTACAGATACAGTTGGGTCTAGCTGCCTCCGTGGGTGGACGGTTACCATGCCGGACTGCCACGCAGAGGTCCCAGGTTCGATTCCCGGGCCGGGAGAAATGTTTGTATGGCTTACATTTATTTCTCTCGTGAGTTTGGGTGTAATTTGTGGTTGTCTATGTGTGTGTGTCCATGGCACCCGCGACACAGGGTTTCCCTAGTGCGGGGCTATGTTGAGTGTGTGCGTTATTTATTTATTAGCGTTAAATTATACTTACTTCTGTTGACCGATAGGGACGCTGTACAATTTGTCATACAAAATTGTGAAATATATTACCGTGCGGAAACAGCAAAGGGTCGTGGGTTCGAATCCGGGCTTGCATCACTGAGTTTTCGGAATTTATGTGCGAAGTTCAATTTGAAGGAAATCATCTTCAGGAAATCTGCACACAAGCAATTTAATGACGTGTATAGTAGTAGTAGAGCTCCTTGAGAAAGAGTTCATCCAGAGTACTGTCACTTCAGCTATTTCTGCCGCCAAGCAGTAATGTAAGCAGTGGCGGATTTGCAGTCTTGGCCGCCCTAGGCCCCAGGCCATGTAGTCAGTACCAGCCGCCCCTTTCTCAGCACTCATATACCTACTGGTAGACATATCTATATTTTATAAATAAAATGTACGAAAGTGATTAACGAAGATTATGGCTGCCGTCCGCTAACCAAGACGCGGCTAAGTGACAAAATAGTTTTTTGAGATATCATAAAAACCATAACCCCGTTTTCAGAATATTCAAATTGTTTCATGATGTTTCAGCTTTGCATCGTTAGGGTAAGTTCCGATTAATCGAAAAACACGTTAACTAATTTTCATTGTTCTCTATTTTTTGCTATTCAAAACGGTTATTTGACGGTTAGTGGACGGCAGATTGTTATGCGATGCGGTGCAGTGCGGCCCGCCATAATGTGCGTGAGCCTTTAAATATTTAGGTACTTTTGAGTTATTTCTTGTAATCATCAGTGAATTTTTTGTCACAATTGGCCGCCCCTAAAGTCTGTAAATCCCTATAGAAATAAAGGGATTTATTTAAGGTATAAAAAACCGTGAGAAACCCAGTGAACATGTTTGACTTTTGTCTCCACTGAAATCTGCCGCCCCTAGGATGCTGCGGCCCCTACGGCCTATTTATAAATCCAGGACTGAATGTAAGCATTACTGTGTTCCGGTTTTGAAGGGTAAGTAAGAATACTGGTGAAATAACAGGCACATGGGACTTGTCAACTTGTGTCTCAGGGGTAAAGAAATGAATGTGAAGTTAGTCAAAGTCAATCAATCATTTATTCCATAGGTAAACATTTTACATTTGAAATCGTCATTTTTAAGCTAATTTTTAAACTACTGCTCGTTCACTACGCTGACCTCCCTGAGAAGAACGAGCAAGAAACTCTAGGGATTGCTCTTTTCAAATAAACTTAAATGCTATGGAATACACTTTGAATCATAATTGTGTGGAATCTAGACTCTTGTTGTCTTTCTATAGTTCTTTGTCTAAAACATACTCTTCAATTTTGTAATATGACTTTTTAATTAAAATACTTTTAATGTAAGTTTTAAATAGAGGAAATGATAATCTTATATACATATATATATTTTCCGGAATCTTATTGTAAAAACGTACACAGTTCCCCGTAAAAGAATCGTTTACCTTAGTTAAACGAAATCGTGGTGCCGTGAGTTTGGACTTATATTATGGATGTCTTCTTTCTTAATGAAATTATGTATATTTTTTATGTATTTTTTTTTTATGTATATTATACGCGTGGGAATACGAGGCCTATGCCTAGCATTGGGACTATATATACTATGGCGACCTTCACTGTAAACTTGTGGTAGATGCACTGCACCTTCAGCAGTAGGCGTCAAAACGATCAAAGTAACCAAAAATAAACATTCAATTCCTGTATCTAATATTACACAACATTTTTATGCTCACCATACCTACGTTTTCAGAATGTCCTATGTGGTGAGTTAGAATGGCGGGTGTATCTTAACAAATCCCATCAAATTTAATACCAAAAAATACCTAAATTGTAATATTTAGCAAGGTTCAAACTTGAACTTCAAAGTAATAATTATCATAAAATGCTATGTAGTGGTGAAATTACAGGCACATGGGACCTGTCAACTTATGACTCAGGGTGACGGGCGCAGTGGCAGTGTCCATAAGATCTTCGCGATTTAAAGCTTAGGTTTATAAAACGAACTTTGATTAAGCCAAAATGGCGAACTAAGCAGTACCGTAGTGTGAAGAAGCATTTGGCCAGACCGGCAAAATGATAGTGACGGAGTGAAGATATTTGTGTTTTCCATCCGTTACTCTCATCTCTGGACTGTATTCGCACTTTCCATCAGGCGCGGTGCAGTCATTTTGCCGAGTCACAATAAAAAAAAAACCTTCCTCCGTGGCCGAACGGTTACCATGCCACTGCCACGACTGCCACGACTGCCACGCAGAGGTCCCGGGTTCGATTCCCGGGCCGGGAGAAACATTTGTACGGCCTACATTTGTTTCTCTGTAAGTTTGAGTGTAATTTTTCGTTGTCTATGTGTGTGTCTATGGCACCCGCGACACAGGGTTTCCCTAGTGCGGGGCCATGTTGAGTGTGTGCGTTATTATTATTATTATGTATTTGTACATAATGATTAATGTATTTAGAACTATGTTTATGAGAAATACGAAGAGGAGACATATTTTAAAGTATTTCGTTTTAATTCAATATAGATAATCAAATCCGGCTATTCTTGTTAAAATGTATAAGAATAAAAATTGATCTCGATACTAGTAAACCAACCAGTATCGAGAGCCTTCTTTATTTAATATAATAAATAATATTATAAAATAATATAATATAAAATAATATTTTCGTTACTGCCTTCTAGTAATCATTAGAATATCGTAACATCCACAATTCAGTCATTTTTGGCACAATTTTGTCTTCTTTCACAATCTATCGATAAAACTATCGACAACAATTACAGAACTATTTAAAATTTCATGAAAACACCACCTTGTGTTGCCACCTACAAATGTCATTTTACTCAGTCTTCAATAAAGACAGACTATAAATATCCCCTAAGTTACAGCGTTACTGTTCTGTGTTGTCATGTACAATATAGAATATTTAATTCATTAATTCTTCCATGAATTGAAGGAATTATAATATTTGCTAAATTGTTATGTCACATGACATCGGTTGTGTTTTTACTATGTTTAGAATAAATGTGGTTTTGCAGTGCAATACCTGAACCAGTGGAAGTGCGTGGCGGTGTTCAAGAATGAGGCGGGCGCAGGCGACGCGCAGCCGCAGGCCCGATCGTACACCACCTACGTCCGCATGGCCGCCATGGCCAACCCGCACCACATGCCGGTCTATTGACCACATCGCTAACCCTCAACCGGTGAGTCACTTCACATCTTACTTTAGACCGGACCCAAATAAAAAACATCTTGTGCAATTAACTCTTTCTTTTTGTCGCAGATATTCGTCTCTTCAGGTGCAGTTTTCATATAGGCGGGGTGTATCCGAGTGTCTTAGGGAGCCACTAAATTTATCGATGCAGTACAGCACTAGGCGGGTTTGAATTTTCGATAGTATCACCATGGCTCAATGCACCTGAAGGCGTCCGTATAGTGAAGGCAGTCGAACGAAGTTATCCGAATGGTCCCGATCGGTTTTCTTCGACGTCTATCGATAATTTAGACCGATCGATGGAACTCGGGAGACTCGCTATTATAGACCAGGGTTGTTGCTGATGCGGATGCTGCTTTTAGGAATTCAAAAGAACGCGAAGAATGTACACTCTTACTGTATCTATCTATATGAAAAGCCCTTACTGAAGCTTTCTATTTTCTTTAGTATTGTAATAAAATATTATTTCAATGATTTTGTGACATTTATTAAGAGGGAGCAGAGGAAAAATTCCTAATCTTCGATTTGATTTTAGAGGGGTATATCCACTTTAAAAATAAAAATAAAATATTGTATGAGTAACTACACGATATGTTCAAGCATAGACACTAATCAGAAACAAAGTTTCCCCGATAGATAAAAATCACGAAATGACATCTAATTTTCACATTTTTTCGATTTATCCTCGAAATGCTACAGGTTATTAGGACAAAAATTAGATAATTAATTATATTTATGCATGATCGAGAACTGTCACTACGGATTTTTTTTAAACCCCTTTAGTTTTAGAGTTATTCCGCTAAAACGAATTTGGTACTTTTAATGCGCAAAATTCAACATCTCCTGTCGCATGTCACGCGAACTTCAGGCATATATTTGTTTCACAAATTTGGGCGGAGCCAACGTCAATACTTTTTTGGCATGCTCCCTCTTAACAAAAGAAACAATCTTCTTGAAAACAATCTGCCTAGCTTAATCGTTGTAGAATTTTATACGTACGTACGTTAAAAACAACAGCTGCACTGCTTTTCCGGCTGACAGTCTGTTTCTGGAAAGTTTGTAAATTATTCCAGCGCGCTTTTAGGTCATGTCAGGACACGAACATCCACAATGAATATCAGCATAGATGAATGCGGATGCTGATATTCGCAATAACCGTATTCTGGACCACAGCGCACTTTTCTATGTGTGCGTAAATTTCGAGCGGAAAATGACTATTTTTTTTTCTAATTAAAAGATTGCACGTGAACAATCAATGAAATTTAAATGTATTACGATTTTTTCAACCGCGTATACAATCAAGTGTAACTGTCAATTTTGCGAAAATACCAACGCCACCTAACGAATTACATCAAAACGTGACGCTCAGCCTAAACGCCACGAGTGTGGTGATACGTGATTCAAGTTCAAACAGACCCCACATCGATAAGTGTGGCGGCTCCCTTTGCTACACCATCGTGTATTAGCCGAAAACGATCGCTCGGATTCGCGCATTTGTAAATTGTCGATTATTGTCGCAGTATGTTCAATAAAATACTTACACACGAGCATAATATATCACTCTATTATTTAGATCTATATCTAAAACGTAAAATTCATTAAGTACTACAATGTATCAAATAAAGTTTGTCCAAAATTCACAGTCCATGCCTTGTACACAATAGAATAAAACTGTTTTATTCGCTTAAAATTACAATTCGAGGTGTCACATAAAGAATTTAAAGGAAAAAAATCTTACAAAATAAGTTAGTCGAAAAATATAAATCACTTCATGGGCGCGGTCCGCCGCAGGCGCTGCAGGTGCGAGCTTTCCTTGCTGCCCGGCGCGCGCGTTGAGAACCAGGACACCTGTTGACCCACAACGAGTTTAGGTTCCGATTCAGAAACTGCTTCTCCAACAGGGTTTGATGTGAAAGACGACATTGAAAAATAAAAAGTTACGGGCATTTAGAAAGAAGTAGAAAAGACATAGCAATAGCTGGTGACGTCACAATCATTAATACCACCATGAAAGTTACATACTACTGGATTACTGCTTAGTCGGTTCCTGAGGTAGCTGTGCGGTGCGGGAGGAGTGACATTTTACGTAACAGTTATGTCGCGTTCCACGCGGAATAATTTCAGCAAGTTTTTTCTGACGATATTTAATAACAAACTGATTGAAAATAGCACCAAATGGCTTGTCTATTACCGTTTCCCATAACATTAATAACAATGACTAATTTGGTAGGCACTCTTGTTAATCGACTTTCTATTGAATATCATATGTCAACTGCTTCCGTGGCCGAACGTGGTTACCAGAGGCCACAGGTTCGACTCCCGGGCCGGGAGAAATATTTGTATGGCCTACATTTATTTCTCTCTGAGTTTGGGTGTAGTTTGTGGTTGTCTATGTGTGTGTCCATGGCACCCGCGGCACAGAGTTTCCCTAGCGCGGGGCTATGTTGAGTGTGTGCGTTATTATTAAAAAAAAATCGTCAGAAAAAACTTTTTTAAATTATTCCGTGTGTAGCGCGACATAACTGTTACGTAAACTGTCACTCCCCCCGCACCGCGCTGCTACCTCAGGAACCGATTCAGTTAAACGATATGCCTGTAACGAACAACGTTTTGCTGAAAACTCATGGAGAAATTCCTATAAACATGCATTTTGTTATGTATACAATTTCGTTACAAAAATTCGCCAATGTAAATTGAGCCTAACCATACATCCTGTGCACTAGGGATGCACGATTTTTTGCTTTGAATCGATTTTCTGGATCGTAACGGATCATGTCTCTGTGTCGGTCCACAGATCGGATCGTATGCTTTTGAATAGATCTCATAAAAATCGGAAATCGTTTCAAATATTAAAACACCTTATTTATATCATAATGATATCATTGTCATAATAATAATTAATGTATGTTTTTTCTTTTTAAGCCTTTCAGGCCTCAGTCGGTTACGAATTTCATTTAGAGTCATATGTCAGTGAAAACAAATGTTCAGGTGGCACAGAAGAAGCAACAACCGCCAAATACTACACTATCGTACTCAGATGTTTCCAAACTAGTTTTCTTGCAGACCAATGTAAAATAGGAATAGCATTAAGATTCAGTAGGGGTTCACAAAAAAAAAATTTACGGTTTGGTTTAAATTGTGAATACGATTTAGGCCACTTGATTCGCCTTGATGTTGAATCGATTTTCTTTAAAACAGCAATGAAATGAATCGATACAAAAAATCGCTAGATCGCATACACTTGAATCGATCTTCACAAAATTGTAATCCTAATATCTCGATATGCAATATGCATCCCTACTGTGCACTTAAAAATTGTGTCTTCAGTTCAGCTCGTAGTCACTATCCATGAATTATCGGGACTGTTTTTTTATGATAGCAAGTGACAGGGCGAACAAGTAAGCGACACGCGTGTCCATAACAGGAGCAGTGCCGCTCAGAGTTTTAATAGCAAAGATCTGATTCAGGGCATTGCCTCTGCGCCCGTCCCCCGAGACTTATGTTGACTCCATATGCCTGTAATTTCACCGGTACCCTTAGCTTTTAAAACCGGAACGCAGTAATGCTTGCATTACTGCTTGGCGGCAAAAATAGGTAAGATGGCAGTAAAATACCCTGGACGAACTCTAATCACATAAATACCGTTAGTTATACTGTATTAGATACTTACGGGCATAGCTCTTTCGCTCTTGCACTGGCTGTTTGATGATGAGTGCGGACTTACAATGTTACTGCGAAACACAAAAAGTTATTAATATAAATTTATATGGTTAAAGAATATTTATTTCCCATTAGAATATACATTCACATATTCAAATTTAAAATAAATAGAAGAAACGCATTAACAATTATTAGCAGTAAAAAAAATGTGTATAGGCCGACAAAAATATATTCCATCACAGATACGCAACGCACGACAGCGTACTAGATGCCACAACAACACAATCAGAAATGTGTAAGCTTAGTTTCTTATATTTCAGTAACTTGTTATTTGCATTGTCGGCTTAATGTGTTCTAAATAACGGATACAAAGAGTGACTTGGAGTGGTTGTCACCACCAATTATTAATTAATTGAAATTAATTTTAAGGAAATACTTTTACTGCATTGTAGGATAACACTATTCATATAGAATGCTGAAGTTGGATTTTAAAGTAATTCTAGTGACGCCATGTAAAAAAATGCAGCAGATAACTAACCTTTCACCAAAGTAACCATTTTTTAATAAACTACGAACAATTGCTTATTTTAACTAAAGTAGATAAGTTGATACTTTTATACCCGGTGGAAGAACGGTTGCTGCAAAACATCGTAATGACATCTGCACGTCGAAGCATAGAACTATAGACATTAGACGCTGGACCAATCACTGTGAAAGGTACGGGCGGACTGAGCCCTGTGAGCACTGTGAACGCAACGAGCGTCTACGTACATTTGATTTACGCGCACCCGCATCCGCCGCCACTCTGAATAAGGCCTTCCACAACATTTGGAAAAAGTGGGAGGTCCCCAACTCGCACTGATCCAGTGTGGGCTGTCAATGACTTAAACCCACTTCTTAGTGGAGACCCGTACACGGCAGTCGGATGTTAACGGGTTGTATAATGATAATGATGAATAAGGGTTCATATGTATTCATATTTAAAGAAGAAACATTATGTAGATGTAATAAGAGTACAATAGTATATTATTTAAGGAGGGACTAAAACCAGCCAATATATACCCGAGGTGGTTAGCCACAAGAGTTTCAGCATGGGTGTCTATTACTCAGAGGGTTTATTTAAGCATTTAGTCTTGAGGTGAAAACTTTACTTTGCACTTCGATTGCGAGAAAATAAATAATTTATTTATTTCAAAACGTTTATGCTCTACAACTTAGAATAATAACGCATAGAATGATAGTTTCATATCAAACGAACTGTCACAAGTGAGGCAAAAATCAAATTCATGTAGGCTAGTTTTAGTAGCACGTTAATTTTCGGTTTTAGTGAATATTTATATAAAAGTACAAGTTGAAACGCGTTACTTCCTTGTGGAATGTGATGTTGGTATCTATTTTATGTTTGTCTGACGTATTTTTACACTCATTTACCGCACATTTCGTCAGTTTTAGCTAAAATTCTTGATCTGTTCGCGGTGCAAGTTGACCTTGAGCACTGACGGCCCGCCCCCTCGTGTAGGCCCTTTGGGAGCGCTTCAATTTGCCTCACTTAGCATGTGCGGGCTAGGTTTCTATGCGTTATTATTCTAAGCTCTACAATAAAATCACGAACTAAAATTGTGAAGTTTTCGCGTTTTTTTTTCTAACTAGACGCAGATACAACAAACGCAACAAAATGCAAAAAAGCCACAATTAGCGGTTTTGGCAATTATGAGCGTCTTTTAAGTGCTACGTCGCGTCACTAAAAAGGCCCCTAGATAAAAACGCATTAACGCGGGAAAATTATATGGCGCCACCGTCTATGCGGCAAAGGCACGGAACTACGAAAAAAAGTCTACACACAGGCAACTTTATTTATAGAATTTCCACAGCGCAGCGATCTCTGTGAAACTGTAGACTGTTTATTTACTTTGATGAAATTATTATAATGTTATATTATAATTATATTTTTTGCTTTTGTGATTAAGTGTTGTATTAGTTGTAATTATATTGTTTCACTTATTTAACTTTTCTTCTTGGTACAAACTAGAGCAAGTATTGGCTGTTTGAGTTTGTCTAGGTCACTCGAAGTAAATTTAAAAAAATAGGTACTTTGCGAAAAGTAACGCCTACAAAACAAAAATACATAAGAAAAGACTTATAAGCATTCAAAATTACTAATTTATTATTAATTAATATTTTAACATTAGCTAGTGCACTTGTAAATAATCAGAACATACCGAAAAACAGATTAAGCGTACAAAATTACCATGTAATGGACACTACGCCACGGAGCAATTAGGATGAATGACTGATAGACTCATTGATTCGTTAACCCGTTGACTCGTTGATCGATTGCTTGACTTTTTGGTTCTATCAACGAAAGCTCTATCGAACAAATCGACTCATTCGAAGAACAGTTCGATGTGATTATATAACAAAAAGAGGATAAATACATAATCGCGTTATTCAAAATAAGACTAGCTCTAGGTGTTTTCAGAATTTTATGTATTATTTCGTTTCGGAAATATAAAATCGAGCAACGGTCAATTTGATATCCACATAGGAAATGAAACTATTTTTCCGGATTTAAATCGCGTATATTTGTTTTTTCAAACAAACTGACGTTTCTTTCTGGTAACGGTTGACTGAGGTGGTACAGTCTTAGAGGAAGGGGGGTACATAGAGGACCTCCCCCCGGAGATAACCGAGGGGGAGATGGACTGGGCGGTGGAGCGGTTGCGGGGCCGGAAGAAGGCCCCCGGCCCGGACGGGGTGGCAGGGCGGGTATTACGTCTAGCCCTCAAGCACCTCGGGACCCGCCTCAGGCAGCTCATGAACGAGTGTCTGAGGTCGGGAACCTTCCCGAGGTGCTGGAAGGAGGGCAGACTCGCCCTGATACCCAAACCGGGCCGGCCTGCGGACTCTCCCTCGGGGTACCGGCCCCTCGTCCTACTGGATGAGGTGGCCAAGATCCTGGAGCGCATAATCGCCTCCAGGATCAAAACCCACTTGAGGGAGAGAGGCCCCGAAGTGTCGCAGCGTCAATTCGGGTTCAGGGAGGGACTATCCACCCTGGACGCCGTGGAGGCGCTGCGACACTTCGTGGAGGAGGGTGGCGCCAGAGGGGAGGGTGTGGTGGCGGTGTCCCTGGACATCGCCAATGCATTTGGGACCCTCCCCTTTGCCGCCATCAAGGAGGCGCTGAGGTACCACAACATCCCGGGGTACCTCAGCCGTCTAGTGGGGCACTACTTAGAGGAAAGGGTGGTGCTCTACCAGACGAGGGAAGGTGGGCGCATGGAGTGCCCGATGAGGTGCGGGGTACCCCAGGGATCTGTAGTAGGCCCTCTACCATGGAACCTGGGGTATGATTGG